ATGTACGTGTATCACACAGCCTTAGCTCGACACGTGATACATGTACGTGTATCACACAGACTGAGCTGGACACGTGATACATAAACGTGTATCACACAGACTGAGCTGGACACGTGATACATGTACGTGTATCACACAGACTGAGCTGGACATCTGATACATGCACGTGTATCACACAGTTTGAGCTGGACATCTGATTCACGTACGTGTATCACACAGACTGAGCTGGACACGTGATACATGTATGTGTATCACACAGCCTGAGCTGAGCTGGACACGTGATACATGTACGTGTATCACACAGACTGAGCTGGACATCTGATACATGCACGTGTATCACACAGTTTGAGCTGGACATCTGATTCACGTACGTGTATCACACAGACTGAGCTGGACACGTGATACATGTATGTGTATCACACAGCCTGAGCTGAGCTGGACACGTGATACATGTACGTGTATCACACAGCCTTAGCTCGACACGTGATACATGTACGTGTATCACACAGACTGAGCTGGACACGTGATACATAAACGTGTATCACACAGACTGAGCTGGACACGTGATACATGTACGTGTATCACACAGACTGAGCTGGACATCTGATACATGCACGTGTATCACACAGTTTGAGCTGGACATCTGATTCACGTACGTGTATCACACAGACTGAGCTGGACACGTGATACATGTACGTGTATCACACAGACTGAGCTGGACACGTGATATACGTACATATGTTACCCTGCCTAGATCTGGACATATGATATATCACATCTAACTACTCATGAAACATATTCTTCTTACCCTGTGTTTTTTTTAAACAAACTTTCCATTCTAACTCCAGTGACTTTTATATATTTATCTATCTTTTTATTTACCGTGGGAACCTTTAAACCTCAACTATTAAGTAACATAAATAAGCATTTACAAATCTTAGGGATTGACCTAAAACCATGTGTAATCCTTCAGTAAACACACTTTGCTATCATAAATGCATTAAGATACAGAGACTTGCAGTCCAGAATTAAACTCCTCTATAAAAACTCTACATTTAGAGACCTGCTGTCCAGAATTACACTCCTTTATAAAAACTCTATATAGAGACATGCAGTCCAGAATTAAACACCTCTATAAAATCTATATATATAGAGACCTGCTGTCCAGAATTAAACTCCTCTATAAAACCTCTATATATGTATATATTTGTTAATATCAATTTGAATTAATGTGCGGGAAAACGTGACATATCGCTATATGAATTTGACAATGTTTGATGAATCAGACAAAATTAAAACCTGTAATACATTATTACGTGTCAATTTTACTTTTATATGAAGTACGATAAAACTGTATAGAATCACCTTCAATCTATGTCGCAGATTGTAAAAATGTAGAAAATCTACCATGTCTTTTGTCTTTTCACGGTTTTTATGTTGCGCTTATGCTGACTTCTTCACTCTACATTTTGTCATTCATGGTGAGGTGATAAAAATATCAATTTCGGAAAAAAAAGAGGGGGGGGGACATTACTCATGAGACTGATCAACAAATTCCTTGAAGTTGTTTGGTTTTAAAGAGACAAGCTTCCGGTTTGTGAATGAAGGACACAAGAAATCCGAATGTAAAATAGATCAACTACATCAGTATATTTTGTGAGTTGCCATCTTTTCGGTATGATCCACGTTAACAAGTTCTGTGTCATCTTGTCAGTATGATCCACCAACAAGTTCTGTGCCATCTTGTCGGTATCATCCACCGACACGTTCTGTGTTATCTTGTCGGTATGATCCACGTCAACAAGTTCTGTGCCATCTTGTCGGTATGATCCACCAACAAGTTCTGTGCCATCTTGTCGGTATGATCCACGTTAACAAGTTCTGTGCCATCTTGTCAGTATGATCCACGTTAACAAGTTCTGTGCCATCTTGTCGGTATGATCCACGTGAACAAGTTCTGTGCCATTTTGTCTTGTCAGTATGATCCACGTTAACAAGTTCTGTGCCATCTTGTCGGTATGATCCACGTCAACAAGTTCTGTGCCATCTTGTCGGTATGATCCACCAACAAGTTCTGTGCCATCTTGTCGGTATGATCCACGTCAACAAGTTCTGTGCCATCTTGTCGGTATGATCCACGTTAACAAGTTCTGTGCTATCTTGTCGGTATGATCCACGTTAACAAGTTCTGTGCCATCTTGTCCGTATGATCCACGTTAACAAGTTCTGTGCCATCTTGTCGGTATGATCCACGTTAACAAGTTCTGTGCCATCTTGTCGGTATGATCCACGTTAACAAGTTCTGTGCCATCTTGTCGGTATGATCCACGTTAACAAGTTCTGTGCCATCTTGTCGGTATGATCCACCAACAAGTTCTGTGCCATCTTGTCGGTATGATGTTCTGTGCCATCTTGTCGGTATGATCCACGTTAACAAGTTCTGTGCCATCTTGTCGGTATGATCCACGTCAACAAGTTCTGTGCCATCTTGTCGGTATGATCCACCAACAAGTTCTGTGCCATCTTGTCGGTATGATCCACGTTAACAAGTTCTGTGCCATCTTGTCAGTATGATCCACCAACAAGTTCTGTGCCATCTTGTCGGTATGATCCACGTTAACAAGTTCTGTGCCATCTTGTCAGTATGATCCACGTCAACAAGTTCTGTGTCATCTTGTCGGTATGATCCACGTTAACAAGTTCTGTGCCATCTTGTCGGTATGATCCACCAACAAGTTCTGTGCCATCTTGTCGGTATGATCCACGTTAACAAGTTCTGTGCCATCTTGTCGGTATGATCCACCAACAAGTTCTGTGTCATCTTGTCCGTATGATCCACGTTAACAAGTTCTGTGCTATCTTGTCAGTATGATCCACGTTAACAAGTTCTGTGTCATCTTGTCCGTATGATCCACGTTAACAAGTTCTGTGCCATCTTGTCGGTATGATCCACCAACAAGTTCTGTGTCATCTTGTCCGTATGATCCACGTTAACAAGTTCTGTGCCATCTTGTCAGTATGATCCACGTTAACAAGTTCTGTGCCATCTTGTCGGTATGATCCACGTTAACAAGTTCTGTGCCATCTTGTCGGTATGATCCACCAACAAGTTCTGTGCCATCTTGTCGGTATGATCCACGTTAACAAGTTTTGTGCCATCTTGTCGGTATGATCCACGTCAACAAGTTCTGTGCCATCTTGTCGGTATGATCCACCAACAAGTTCTGTGCCATCTTGTCGGTATGATCCACGTCAACAAGTTCTGTGCCATCTTGTCGGTATGATCCACGTTAACAAGTTCTGTGCCATCTTGTCAGTATGATCCACGTTAACAAGTTCTGTGCCATCTTGTCAGTATGATCCACGTTAACAAGTTCTGTGCCATCTTGTCAGTATGATCCACGTTAACAAGTTCTGTGCCATCTTGTCAATGATCCAAACAAGTTCTGTGCCATCTTGTCCACGTTAACAAGTATGATCCACGTCAACAAGTTCTGTGCCATCTTGTCGGTATGATCCACCAACAAGTTCTGTGTCATCTTGTCCGTATGATCCACGTTAACAAGTTCTGTGCCATCTTGTCAGTATGATCCACGTTAACAAGTTCTGTGCCATCTTGTCAGTATGATCCACGTTAACAAGTTCTGTGCCATCTTGTCGGTATGATCCACGTTAACAAGTTCTGTGCCATCTTGTCGGTATGATCCACGTCAACAAGTTCTGTGTCATCTTGTCGGTATGAACAAGTTCCATTCTTGTATGATCCACGTCAAGTTCTGTGCCATTTTGTATGATCCACCAACAAGTTCTGTGTCATCTTGTCCGTATGATCGACGTTAACAAGTTCTGTGCCACCTTGTCGGTAGTATGATCCACGTTAACAAGTTCTGTGCTATCTTGTCGGTATGATCCACGTTAACAAGTTCTGTGCCATCTTGTCCGTATGATCCACGTTAACAAGTTCTGTGCCATTTTGTCGGTATGATCCACCAACAAGTTCTGTGTCATCTTGTCCGTATGATCCACGTTAACAAGTTCTGTGCCATCTTGTCGGTATGATCCACGTCAACAAGTTCTGTGCCATCTTGTCGGTATGATCCACGTTAACAAGTTCTGTGCTATCTTGTCGGTATGATCCACGTTAACAAGTTCTGTGCCATCTTGTCGGTATGATCCACGTTAACAAGTTCTGTGCCATCTTGTCAGTATGATCCACGTTAACAAGTTCTGTGCCATTTTGTCGGTATGATCCACGTCAACAAGTTCTGTGCCATCTTGTCGGTATGATCCACGTTAACAAGTTCTGTGCCATCTTGTCAGTATGATCCACGTTAACAAGTTCTGTGCCATTTTGTCCACGTTAACAAGTTCTGTGCCATTTTGTCAGTATGCTCCACGTTAACAAGTTCTGTGCCATCTTGTCGGTATGATCCACGTCAACAAGTTCTGTGCCATCTTGTCGGTATGATCCACCAACAAGTTCTGTGTCATCTTGTCCGTATGATCCACGTTAACAAGTTCTGTGCCATCTTGTCAGTATGATCCACGTTAACAAGTTCTGTGCCATCTTGTCGGTATGATCCACGTTAACAAGTTCTGTGCCATCTTGTCGGTATGATCCACGTTAACAAGTTCTGTGCCATCTTGTCGGTATGATCCACGTCAACAAGTTCTGTGTCATCTTGTCGGTATGATCCACGTTAACAAGTTCTGTGCCATCTTGTCGGTATGATCCACCAACAAGTTCTGTGTCATCTTGTCCGTATGATCCACGTTAACAAGTTCTGTGCCATCTTGTCAGTATGATCCACGTGGACAACTTCTGTGCCATCTTGTCGGTATGATCCACGTTAACAAGTTCTGTGCCATCTTGTCGGTATGATCCACGTCAACAAGTTCTGTGTCATCTTGTCGGTATGATCCACTTTAACAAATTCTGTGCCATCTTGTCGGTATGATCCACCAACAAGTTCTGTGTCATCTTGTCCGTATGATCCACGTTAACAAGTTCTGTGCCATCTTGTCGGTATGATCCACGTGTATTTTTCTGTAACAAGTTCTGTATTACCATCTTGTCGGTATCGATTATAAAATGGATCAACGTGTTTTCTGAAAGTGTCAAAGCTATGTTTACCATCTGATTGGATAATGGGCACAGAGGACCAGACCGCGTCATCGTGGATCTGGTCAGTACTGGAGTATTTACCGAAAGGAGAGCAAATCACCTAGAAGTACGAAAAAAAAGAGATAAACATCATGTGGAAGAAGGAGGGATAAACTGAAAATGGACATGTCATATGTCTAAAGAGATAGTGTTACATGTTTACTGTCTTAGCACTCTCTAAATTATCTTGTCATGAATCTGACAGAAGGATAGACAGCGTTCAGAATTAGGTCGCCATGTTTAATGTTTTACTATTAAAGTCCATCCTTTATCAATAACTTACCTCGAACCCTTTATTGGATCGTACTGGCGCCAGATCTGCGTAGCCGTACCGAACGTAGAGCGTCATATAGCCACTATCTATCTGAAAAGACTCGGGAAAAGGTCCTTGGAATTGTCCCAGTGTCAGGTTATATGCTACTGACATTGCCGCCATCACGAGTCGGCGGGCCACTGTGTCCTTATCCCGGGGGTGGATACTTAAACACAGAGTAAAATAGCTTTCAAGGTGGAACACTTTGACGCAGATTACAAGATATCGCGGTGTTGGATATAAGATGTTTTACAGCAGGGACTTACCTTCCCCAGGGAGACTTAAAGTCGGGTAAATCCATCGCCACCGCCATGAAAGTGTTCGGCATCCGGTTGTTCGGAACATATCCTACGTCAGCAGTCTGGTGCCAACGAATGTCAGGAAATCCAGTGGAGATACTGGAATCGTTCCGAAAGGCACCCAACTAACAAACAATAAGGATGCGTAAAGAATAGTTCCGAATCACATATTTATACATCAATGAAAGGAAGTTAGTCAGGGTCTTTAAACTCAGAAAAGTTCCTAGCACATTCAATTGTTACATGATTGAACGTTTGACACATTTCACATAAACCTGAATGGATGCGAGAATCACAAACCTGCAAAAGTACAATTACCTCTGCACAAACCTTTCTGGTAAAAAGAGGCATTCATCAACCGAAAACACGTCTCCTGAATAAAACAAAAGGCTTTTACCTGCACAAAGCCGAAGGGAAAATCTGACCTGGTGTCACTGTGGGATGAGAAATAATGGCGCCAATCTTCAATCATTCCCGGGAACGTACAATTGTACGTATCGGGCTCGGCGGCATTGGATTCGCCTGGTGACAATTAAAACCCGATACATACATAACGACGTGTTCATGTTCTATATTATTACAGTTTAGGTAATTTATTCAATTCGTAACGTGATCATTTCAGGACATTTATCGTATTTAGTACAGACCTACATAAACAACAACACAAACGGGATGTAAGGGATGGAGGCTTATCACAGAGAATTGTAAAGAATTGAATTTAAAAAAAATATAATGAAGAATTGGGTTTATAAAGAGGTAATGAAGAATTGGGTTTATAAAGAGGTAATGAAGAATTGGGTTTATAAAGAGGTAATGAAGAATTGGATTTAAAACGAGACAATGAAGAATTGGATTTATATAGAGGTAATGAAGAATTGGGTTTAAAACGAGACAATGAAGAATTGGATTTATATAGAGGTAATGAAGAATTGGGTTTAAAACGAGACCATGAAGAATTGGATTTAAAACGAGACAATGAAGAATTCGGTTTATATAGAGGTAATGAAGAATTGGATTTAAAACGAGACAATGAAGAATTGGGTTTATATAGAGGTAATGAAGAATTGGATTTAAAACGAGACAATGAAGAATTGGATTTAAAACGAGACAATGAAGAATTGGATTTAAAACGAGACAATGAAGAATTGGGTTTATAAAGAGGTAATGAAGAATTGGATTTAAAACGAGACAATGAAGAATTGGATTTAAAACGAGACAATGAAGAATTGGGTTTATATAGAGGTAATGAAGAATTGGATTTAAAACGAGACAATGAAGAACTGGGTTTATAAAGAGGTAATGAAGAATTGGATTTATAAAGAGGTAATGAAGAATTGGATTTAAAACGAGACAATGAAGAATTGGGTTTATATAGAGGTAATGAAGAATTGGATTTAAAACGAGACAATGAAGAATTGGGTTTATAAAGAGGTAATGAAGAATTGGATTTAAAACGAGACAATGAAGAATTGGATTTATAAAGAGGTAATGAAGAATTGGATTTAAAACGAGACAATGAAGAATTGGGTTTATATAGAGGTAATGAAGAATTGGATTTAAAACGAGACAATGAAGAATTGGGTTTATATAGAGGTAATGAAGAATTGGATTTAAAACGAGACAATGAAGAACTGGGTTTATAAAGAGGTAATGAAGAATTGGATTTATAAAGAGGTAATGAAGAATTGGATTTAAAACGAGACAATGAAGAATTGGGTTTATATAGAGGTAATGAAGAATTGGATTTAAAACGAGACAATGAAGAATTGGGTTTATAAAGAGGTAATGAAGAATTGGATTTAAAACGAGACAATGAAGAATTGGATTTATAAAGAGGTAATGAAGAATTGGATTTAAAACGAGACAATGAAGAATTGGGTTTATAAAGAGGTAATGAAGAATTGGATTTAAAACGAGACAATGAAGAATTGGGTTTATATAGAGGTAATGAAGAATTGGATTTAAAACGAGACAATGAAGAACTGGGTTTATATAGAGGTAATGAAGAATTGGATTTAAAACGAGACAATGAACAATTGGGTTTATATAGAGGTAATGAAGAATTGGATTTAAAACGAGACAATGAAGAACTGGATTTATAAAGAGGTAATGAAGAATTGGATTTAAAACGAGACAATGAAGAATTGGGTTTATATAGAGGTAATGAAGAATTGGATTTAAAACGAGACAATGAAGAATTGGGTTTATATAGAGGTAATGAAGAATTGGATTTAAAACGAGACAATGAAGAATTGGGTTTATAAAGAGGTAATGAAGAATTGGATTTAAAACGAGACAATGAAGAATTGGATTTATAAAGAGGTAATGAAGAATTGGATTTAAAACGAGACAATGAAGAATTGGGTTTATAAAGAGGTAATGAAGAATGAAGAATTGGATTTAAAACGAGACAATGAAGAATTGGATTTATAAAGAGGTAATGAAGAATTGGATTTAAAACGAGACAATGAAGAATTGGGTTTATAAAGAGGTAATGAAGAATTGGATTTAAAACGAGACAATGAAGAATTGGATTTAAAACGAGACAATGAAGAATTGGGTTTATAAAGAGGTAATGAAGAATTGGATTTAAAACGAGACAATGAAGAATTGGATTTAAAACGAGACAATGAAGAATTGGATTTATAAAGAGGTAATGAAGAATTGGATTTAAAACGAGACAATGAAGAATTGGGTTTATATAGAGGTAATGAAGAATTGGATTTAAAACGAGACAATGAAGAATTGGGTTTATATAGAGGTAATGAAGAATTGGATTTAAAACGAGACAATGAAGAACTGGGTTTATATAGAGGTAATGAAGAATTGGATTTAAAATGAGACAATGAACAATTGGGTTTATAAAGAGGTAATGAAGAATTGGATTTAAAACGAGACAATGAAGAATTGGATTTAAAACGAGACAATGAAGAATTGGGTTTATATAGAGGTAATGAAGAATTGGATTTAAAACGAGACAATGAAGAATTGGGTTTATAAAGAGGTAATGAAGAATTGGATTTATAAAGAGGTAATGAAGAATTGGATTTAAAACGAGAAAATGAAGAATTGGGTTTATAAAGAGGTAATGAAGAATTGGATTTAAAACGAGACAATGAAGAATTGGATTTATAAAGAGGTAATGAAGAATTGGATTTAAAACGAGACAATGAAGAATTGGGTTTATATAGAGGTAATGAAGAATTGGATTTAAAACGAGACAATGAAGAATTGGGTTTATATAGAGGTAATGAAGAATTGGATTTAAAACGAGACAATGAAGAACTTGGTTTATAAAGAGGTAATGAAGAATTGGGTTTATATAGAGGTAATGAAGAATTGGATTTAAAACGAGACAATGAAGAATTGGGTTTATATAGAGGTAATGAAGAATTGGATTTAAAAAGAGGTAATGAAGAATTGGATTTAAAACGAGACAATGAAGAATTGGATTTATAAAGAGGTAATGAAGAATTGGATTTAAAACGAGACAATGAAGAATTGGATTTAAAACGAGACAATGAAGAATTGGGTTTATAAAGAGGTAATGAAGAATTGGATTTAAAACGAGACAATGAAGAATTGGATTTAAAACGAGACAATGAAGAATTGGATTTATATAGAGGTAATGAAAAATTGAATTTAAAACGAGACAATGAAGAATTGGGTTTATATAGAGGTAATGAAGAATTGGATTTAAAACGAGACAATGAAGAATTGGATTTAAAACGAGACAATGAAGAATTGGATTTAAAACGAGACAATGAAGAATTGGGTTTATATAGAGGTAATGAAGAATTGGATTTAAAACGAGACAATGAAGAATTGGATTTATAAAGAGGTAATGAAGAATTGGATTTAAAACGAGACAATGAAGAATTGGGTTTATAAAGAGGTAATGAAGAATTGGATTTAAAACGAGACAATGAAGAATTGGATTTAAAACGAGACAATGAAGAATTGGGTTTATATAGAGGTAATGAAGAATTGGATTTATAACGAGACAATGAAGAATTGGGTTTATATAGAGGTAATGAAGAATTGGATTTAAAACGAGACAATGAAGAATTGGGTTTATATAGAGGTAATGAAGAATTGGATTTATAACGAGACAATGAAGAATTGGATTTATAAAGAGGTAATGAAGAATTGGATTTAAAACGAGACAATGAAGAATTGGGTTTATATAGAGGTAATGAAGAATTGGATTTAAAACGAGACAATGAAGAATTGGATTTAAAACGAGACAATGAAGAATTGGATTTAAAACGAGACAATGAAGAATTGGGTTTATATAGAGGTAATGAAGAATTGGATTTAAAACGAGACAATGAAGAACTGGGTTTATAAAGAGGTAATGAAGAATTGGATTTATATAGAGGTAATGAAGAATTGGATTTAAAACGAGACAATGAAGAATTGGGTTTATAAAGAGGTAATGAAGAATTGGATTTAAAACGAGACAATGAAGAATTGGATTTATAAAGAGGTAATGAAGAATTGGATTTAAAACGAGACAATGAAGAATTGGATTTAAAACGAGACAATGAAGAATTGGGTTTATATAGAGGTAATGAAGAATTGGATTTAAAACGAGACAATGAAGAATTGGATTTAAAAACGAGACAATGAAGAATTGGATTTAAAACGAGACAATGAAGAATTGGATTTAAAACGAGACAATGAAGAATTGGGTTTATAAAGAGGTAATGAAGAATTGGATTTAAAACGAGACAATGAAGAATTGGATTTAAAACGAGACAATGAAGAATTGGATTTAAAACGAGACAATGAAGAATTGGGTTTATAAAGAGGTAATGAAGAATTGGGTTTATAAAGAGGTAATGGAGAATTGGAAGACAAACCTTGGTACCAGATAGCTCCATACAGTGACAGACTTGCGAATGGAGTGACCATGGCATTCCAAATTTCCGAATCGTGGAGGGGTCTGTAAAAGCAGGGATATCAAAATATCATATACATGTAACAAGAGAATGGAGAATGTTTACGGTAAATTGATAAATATAAGGTCCGTAACAATGTCAGTCCACGGGAAAACATTATCAGGTTCAATGTCTTCTCATACAATGAAGGAAATTTTTTAGCACAAAAGAATCTTCATGACAGGTAAGACATGAAACTAAGCAGACCGACTCTAGATATTGTTATAGATCGGTGTTACTAAGTAAGTAGATGGCGCTGTACACCTTCATACTTGAGTTTGACGTTGCATTTCTTCAGTACAGCTGTTGACGTCCATTGCTCGATAGCAGTTCCGCCCCACGTGGTATCAATCAAGCCAATCGGGTAACCGAGATAGTCGTATAGATACCTGCCATACAGCCAACACAGGTCGGAAAAGTAGGTGAACGCCTTTCCCTCCAGTGATGCTGTTAGTGGACACATAATATTGGAGACAAATTATACAGGTTTGGGAGACAAAGTATATATATCAACAATACTCCGAGCTCAAAATTCTGAAAATACCAAACCCATATAATTTTCAGTGGCTGCATTTATAGAAGATAAATCAACGTCGACAACTTCTTACATTCCGTACGTCTGCGGCAATTTTAAACGATGACGTATCAAGTTCGGATTTGTTTCTGAAGTGTCAGTTACTAAATTAACCTGTCTTGTTAAACAATACTGACCATTACTGGGAATGGACCAGGGCTCCAATACGGCCTTCAGATCCCTAAGCGCAACTCGCGATGTGGCTTCTTGTGCCGTAAACAAACGGATATCGGTGTAGTTGGCAACATCGTCCACCTGGTCAGACGCGTTATAGGACTGCATCAACAGGAAATTATAGTTAATACATAACAAAGTAAACCAACTCAGAGATATCCTCGGACTTTAAATCAAGGGCTAGAGAGTAATAGATGGAGAAATGATTTTCATACCATATTCACGGTGAACTGCATGTTGCTTTGTCCAGCGCACAGCCAAACATCTCCGAACAAGACATCATCCAGCACTGCAGTGCCACCGGGGCCAGTCAGCCTCAGGGTGTAAGACTTAGTGTCATTTACAGGACGGAGGGTGACGCTCCAAACCCCTCCAACTTCTGGAGAAGGAGACACGGGTGAAGTGTATACACCTCCTCCCATACCAGCACCTGTCACATTCAGGGTAACCGACCCCTGGGGTTGAGAGGCGTAGCCCCACACAATTGCTCGCTGTGGGGCGCGTTGTAATACCATATGATGACCATAGTAAGAAGCGAAAGACAGTTGACCAGGTTCTGTATAGAAAGAAAGTCAAATACGATGAAAATGATGTACATGTTTCAGGTGTCTACTTGTACACGATAAAAACAGCAGACTAAATTTGAATGAAATTCTTAATCTGTAAAGCGTTTGAAGTTACGAACAGCAATAATCTTGGTTTTCTCGTGAGGAATCCGATGTATGTTTCATTTTAAGAAACCTAATTTTTATACCCAGCCACACCTGTTCTGTAATAGGATCAGTCGTGAGATCAATGACAGTAAAGTTAAAAATGTGTCAAATACTAAAAATTATAGACTTCAGCGAAGGCGCATTCTAAATTAATTTCACTTTTGTGTAGGATTTTTGTCAGTGTAAAGTTTCATCATATCTTGTCATTTCTCACTGGAAAGGCGAGACATAGAGCGAATTACCTATTTGTAAGACATTGACTAAAGCAATCATATCAGTCTGCTCGGGGAACAGCTGATAATTGTCTGCTCGTTCACGTATATCCCAGAGCTGGCTATATTTCGTAACATTGAAAGTCGGCACAAAGGACACACAGCGAAGAGTGCTTTTCAACTCACAATTAGAATGATACACAGTTGTAGTATACTTTGGATGTCAAATTATATCCTTGTTTATTAAACACGTGGTGCAATCGTCAAAGCACAGAAGACACCATTTTATTTAGCTTCAATCTGGAGTATGATTTTAAAACATATTCCGGTCAACTAATCCGGATTTATGTATAAACTAATATCAAAAACATCTAAATTCCGGAATGGAGTTATTTCCCATTTTGTATTAAAATGTGATACAATTAGTTAGCTCACAGATCAGTATAAACTATACAGTATTGCCAAGTAAGGAAATGAACTGTATGGTACAAAAACTTCAGACATTAATTACTGAAATGTGAATGACGACTGGGGACAATCTAATTTGGTCAAAATATCTCCAACAGAAATACATATCACATTCAATAGTGAATTATTTCAAATGGACATAATATATATATAATATGTATTCAACCTTGAAACCAATTTGTATATTGAACTTCTAAAAATTTCTTCTGTCCTTTGAAACAATAGTTGCTTTGGATATTGTCAGTGTATCATTTGATTGTGTGTGATATACAGTACAGATATCACCTAGCGTCAGTTGTAACAATCAGATTATATTTTAACTTAACTTAATGGTGGCATTCAGTGTAGATCTAGACTTAACTAAATGGTGGCATTCAGTGCAGATTTTGACTTACCGAAGTGGTGGCATTCAGTAAGGATTTTGACTTACCTAAGTGGTGGCATTCAGTGTAGATTTTGACTTACCTAAGTGGTGGCATTCAGTGTAGATTTTGACTTACCGAAGTGGTGGCATTTAGTGTAGATTTTGACTTACCTATGTGGTGGCATTCAGTGCAGATTTTGACTTACCTAAGTGGTGGCATTCAGTGTAGATTTTGACTTACCTAAGTGGTGGCATTCAGTGTAGATTTTGACTTACCTAAATGGTGGCATTCAGTAAGGATTTTGACTTACCTAAGTGGTGGCATTCAGTGTAGATTTTGACTTACCTAAGTGGTGGCATTCAGTGTAGATTTTGACTTACCTAAATGGTGGCATTCAGTAAGGATTTTGACTTACCTAAGTGGTGGCATTCAGTGTAGATTTTGACTTACATAAGTTATGGCATTCAGTGAAGATTTAGACTTACTTCAGTGGTGACATTCAGTGTATATTTTAACTTACCTAAGTGGTAGCATTCAGTACACAGATTTTGACTTACCTGAACCGTGTCCATCAGTAGATAGACTTACCTGAACCGTGTCCATCAGTAAACAGATCTTGATTTACCTGAACCGTGTCCATCAGTATACAGATTTTGACTTACCTGAACCGTGTCCATCAGCACACAGATTTTGACTTACCTGAACCGTGTCCATCAGTACACAGATTTTGACTTACCTGAACCGTGTCCATCAGCACACAGATTTTGACTTACCTGAACCGTGTCCATCAGTATACAGATTTTGACTTACCTGAACCGTGTCCATCAGTATACAGATTTTGACTTACCTGAACCGTGTCCATCAGTATACAGATTTTGACTTACCTGAACCGTGTCCATCAGTACACAGATTTTGACTTACCTGAACCGTGTCCATCAGTAGATAGATCTAGACTTACCTGAACCGTGTCCATCAGTACACAAATTTTGACTTACCTGAACCGTGTCCATCAGTACACAGATTTTGACTTACCTGAACCGTGTCCATCAGTAGATAGATCTAGACTTACCTGAACCGTGTCCATCAGTATACAGATTTTGACTTACCTGAACCGTGTCCATCAGTATACAGATTTTGACTTACCTGAACCGTGTCCATCAGTATACAGATTTTGACTTACCTGAACCGTGTCCATCAGTAGATAGATCTAGACTTACCTGAACCGTGTCCATCAGTATACAGATTTTGACTTACCTGAACCGTGTCCATCAGTATACAGATTTTGACTTACCTGAACCGTGTTCATCAGTATACAGATTTTGACTTACGTGAACCGTGTCCATCAGTAGATAGACTTACCTGAACCGCGTCCATCAGTACGCAGATTTTGACTTACCTGAACCGTGTCCATCAGTATACAGATTTTGACTTACCTGAACCGTGTCCATCAGTATACAGATTTTGACTTACCTGAACCGTGTCCATCAGCACACAGATTTTGACTTACGTGAACCGTGTCCATCAGCAGACAGATTTTGACTTACGTGAACCGTGTCCATCAGTAGATAGATCTAGACTTACCTGAACCGTGTCCATCAGTAGATAGATCTAGACTTACCTGAACCGTGTCCATCAGTAAGCAGATTTTGGCTTACCTGAACCGTTTCCATCAATACACAGATTTTGACTTACCTGAACCGTGTCCATCAGTATACAGATTTTGGCTTACCTGAACCGTTTCCATCAATACACAGATTTTGACTTACCTGAACCGTGTCCATCAGCACACAGATTTTGACTTGCCTGAACCGTGTCCATCAGCACACAGATTTTGACTTACCTGAACCGTGTCCATCAGTATACAGATTTTGACTTACCTGAACCGTGTCCATCAGCACACAGATTTTGACTTACCTGAACCGTGTCCATCAACACACAGATTTTGACTTACCTGAACCATGTCCATCAGTATACAGATTTTGACTTACCTGAACCGTGTCCATCAGTATACAGATTTTGACTTACCTGAACCGTGTCCATCAGTATACAGATTTTGACTTACCTGAACCGTGTCCATCAGTATACAGATTTTGACTTACCTGAACCGTGTCCATCAGTATACAGATTTTGACTTACCTGAACCGTGTCCATCAACACACAGATTTTGACTTACCTGAACCATGTCCATCAGTATACAGATTTTGACTTACCTGAACCGTGTCCATCAGTATACAGATTTTGACTTACCTGAACCATGTCCATCAGTATACAGATTTTGACTTACCTGAACCGTGTCCATCAGCACACAGATTTTGACTTACCTGAACCGTGTCCATCAACACACAGATTTTGACTTACCTGAACCATGTCCATCAGTATACAGATTTTGACTTACCTGAACCGTGTCCATCAGTATACAGATTTTGACTTACCTGAACCGTGTCCATCAGTATACAAATTTTGACTTACCTGAACCGTGTCCATCAGTATACAGATTTTGACTTACCTGAACCGTGTCCATCAGTATACAGATTTTGACTTACCTGAACCGTGTCCATCAACACACAGATTTTGACTTACCTGAACCATGTCCATCAGTATACAGATTTTGACTTACCTGAACCGTGTCCATCAGTATACAGATTTTGACTTACCTGAACCGTGTCCATCAATACACAGATTTTGACTTACCTGAACCGTGTCCATCAGTACACAGATTTTGACTTACCTGAACCGTGTCCATCAGTACACAAATTTTGACTTACCTGAACCGTGTCCATCAGTACACAGATTTTGACTTACCTGAACCGTGTCCATCAGTACACAAATTTTGACTTACCTGAACCGTGTCCATCAGTACACAGATTTTGACTTACCTGAACCGTGTCCATCAGTATACAGATTTTGACTTACCCGAGCTCGCTCTTTGAAACAGTATACAGAAAAGAAAGAGGACTAATTTCAATACAGTCATATTTTCGTTATTCTTAGTCGCCAAATATAGAGTTCGGTATCAGCAACAGGCCAGGGCTAGTAATATCATAGGACAGAGGTCGGAGGTCAGGAGGTCAGAGGTAGTGTAAGATATTAAAATTGATATATCACTGAATATGCCCAGAGGCCGTTCTGATGGATGTTATCGTTATCATCACAATAACAAAAAACAATGATTGTTTCGGTATCTTCGGAGGAATGGACGACGAGAAACCAAATGCTTTTAAAACGAGTTAAGTCTATGTGCACTTTTTTGATATGACAGAAATTACCATGCATCTGTTGCCACTAAACTTTCCAATAAATCTTGAAAAAGATGGATGGAAACAAGAGTGCGGTATTTCGTTTGGCATTGTCTACAGCGCGGTGTGTCTCTATACTACCAATACACTGTCGGGCAGCCATCAGATGTCACCAGGTATTGATATATCAGTATCGTCCGGGGTCTGCTGATAATTATCTGTTTACACACTCAGTAAATAGGATACCTTGTACTCTGATGTATGTAATACCAGGTGTACGGCTGATTTATCCAGTCTTTCTTCCCTGTGATATCGTACAGCTTTAGCCATGTTCCTAGTCATTGCTTGTCAAATACGTCGATAAAATGCCCTATACATTAAATGTATGCTGCATTGTGTCTTTATTTATGTATTTAAAAAAAATGAAATACATTTTTTCTTGGTCCCGATAATAGGACGAGAAACTGGGTTGTGTAAACTACGGGTAACCGTGAGAGAGCGTCCGAAGGTCCTGTTTTGAGCCGAGAAAAGTAGACAGAATTTAGAAGAGAGATTACATCACGATTATTGTGCACCAAGACGCAGTATGTTAATGGAGATCTCGACATCCTGATGACACCAGACGATTCAACAGTGACAGAGGGCCAAGTACAAGAAGGTTCCCTCGGTTCTCAAGAAGGAGTAGCTTCCAGCCTTTGGTCCAAACAGTTTACCACACAGAGTGTACAACAACTGTACAATGTTATTGTGGAAGTTGACTGGTCTGTGGAGGAGAGAGAGTGTACAACAACTGTACAATGTTATTGTGGAAGTTGACTGGTCTGTGGAGGAGAGAGAGAGTACAACAACTGTACAATGTTATTGTGGAAGTTGACTGGTCTGTGGAGGAGAGAGAGAGTACAACAACTGTACAATGTTATTGTGGAAGTTGACTGGTCTGTGGAGGAGAGAGAGAGTACAACAACTGTACAATGTTATTGTGGAAGTTGACTGGTAACGTGGAGGAGAGAGAGAGAGTACAACAACTGTACAATGTTATTGTGGAAGTTGACTGGTCTGTGGAGGAGAGAGAGAGTACAACAACTGTACAATGTTATTGTGGAAGTTGACTGGTCTGTGGAGGAGAGAGAGAGTACAACAACTGTACAATGTTATTGTGGAAGTTGACTGGTCTGTGGAGGAGAGAGAGAGTACAACAACTGTACAATGTTATTGTGGAAGTTGACTGGTCTGTGGAGGAGAGAGAGTACAACAACTGTACAATGTTATTGTGGAAATTGACTGGTCTGTGGAGGAGAGAGAGAGTACAATAACTGTACAATGTTATTGTGGAAGTTGACTGGTAACGTGGAGGAGAGAGAGGGTAGTTGGACTGTCTTTATGCAGAAGGTTACTTCATTCCAAAGAAAGAAGATTCCTAGACGTTCGGGAAGTTCAACGCCTGCCCGTTACTGTATATTGAGGGTTAAATCTTCTCGGCGATCTAAACAAACGTATTATGAACTACATACTTAGCAACATGTACTAACAGTATGCCAATGTTTCGGTCCAGAGACGTTCGGTGTTGGGAGTATCTTAAACATACAAGTCTGCTAGCAAAGTCATTCGATTTACACGAGAGTCCGTGTGGAGGGCCTTAAAGATTCTTGTTATCCTCGGGAGAGACAGAAAGCATATGATTGGCGCAGTGTGTCAACAAGCAGTCAGTATAAATATGACTGGTGACTGGCGCAGTGCGTCAACAAGCAGAGTCAGTATAAATATGACCGGTGATTGGCGCAGTGCGTCAACAAGCAGTCAGTGTAAATATGACTGGTGATTGGCGCAGTGTGTCAACAAGCAGTCAGTATAAATATGACTGGTGATTGGCGCAGTGCGTCAACAAGCAGAGTCAGTATAAATATGACTGGTGATTGGCGCAGTCCGTCAACAAGCAGAGTCAGTATAAATATGACTGGTGATTGGCGCAGTGCGTCAACAAACAGAGTCAGTATAAATATGACTGGTGATTGGCGCAGTGCGTCAACAAGCAGAGTCAGTATAAATATGACTGGTGATTGGCGCAGTGCGTCAACAAGCAGAGTCAGTATAAATATGACTGGTGATTGGCGCAGTCCGTCAACAAGCAGAGTCAGTATAAATATGACTGGTGATTGGCGCAGTGCGTCAACAAGCAGAGTCAGTATAAATATGACTGGTGATTGGCGCAGTGCGTCAACAAACAGAGTCAGTATAAATATGACTGGTGATTGGCGCAGAGCGTCAACAAGCAGAGTCAGTATAAATATGACTGGTGATTGGCGCAGTCCGTCAACAAGCAGAGTCAGTATAAATATGACTGGTGATTGGCGCAGTGCGTCAACAAGCAGAGTCAGTATAAATATGACTGGTGATTGGCGCAGTGCGTCAACAAGCAGATTCAGTATAAATATGACTGGTGATTGGCGCAGAGCGTCAACAAGCAGAGTCAGTATAAATATGACTGTGATTGGCGCAGTGCGTCATCAAGCAGAGTCAGTATAAATATGACTGGTGATTGGCGCAGTCCGTCAACAAGCAGAGTCAGTATAAATATGACCGGTGATTGGCGCAGTGCGTCAACAAGCAGTCAGTGTAAATATGACTGGTGATTGGCGCAGTGTGTCAACAAGCAGTCAGTATAAATATGACTGGTGATTGGCGCAGTGCGTCAACAAGCAGAGTCAGTATAAATATGACTGGTGATTGGCGCAGTCCGTCAACAAGCAGAGTCAGTATAAATATGACTGGTGACTGGCGCAGTGCGTCAACAAACAGAGTCAGTATAAATATGACTGGTGATTGGCGCAGTCCGTCAACAAGCAGAGTCAGTATAAATATGACTGGTGATTGGCGCAGTGCGTCAACAAGCAGAGTCAGTATAAATATGACTGGTGATTGGCGCAGTGCATCAACAAGCAGAGTCAGTATAAATATGACTGGTGATTGGCGCAGTCCGTCAACAAACAGAGTAAGTATAAATATGACTGGTGATTGGCGCAGTCCGTCAACAAGCAGAGTCAGTATAAATATGACTGGTGATTGGCGCAGTGCGTCAACAAGCAGTCAGTATAAATATGACTGGTGATTGGCGCAGTCCGTCAACAAGCAAAGTCAGTATAAATATGACTGGTGATTGGCGCAGTGCGTCAACAAGCAGAGTCAGTATAAATATGACTGGTGATTGGCGCAGTGCGTCAACAAGCGGTCAGTATAAATATGACTGGTGATTGGCGCAGTGCGTCTTCAGATTCCATACTTGAAACCATATAGAATTTCTATGATACAGCCCGTTCAGGATATGCTGCTTTAATGTTTGCACGTAAGTAGTGATAAATCAATGTAAAATGAATTTCAATGTATCATTTTTTACTTTAATGGGTTTTATATATACAGGTATATCTGTTTCCACGTGGTAGTTAATAGCCTGGTCTGGTTAATAGCGTCATCACTTTCAACGTTTCCCAGTTGCTGAGGTAGTCCTTGGAGTATATCTCTAGAAGCCTTAGGTAGATTTCGGATAAAGTTTACTTGAATTTTGCAGGAGAGAACACATTTAATTTTTAAGGATACGTTTCCACATACTGCTAGAGTGATTATTGCTTGCTTAGTGGAAAAATTGGTGCAAACTCTGTTTGGCCCCTCACTCCCCAACTTGAGCCCCCTTCTGAATATCACAAGGTGTGTTAAGGACCTTTACGCTGACTTTTGAAAACGATAGTTCAATCCTACATTTTTGTTTTAAAGAAATGATCTACAATGTAGAAGTAACAATCATAGTTCCAGACAGAGACAATATGACTCCTATAAAACTGCCCACACCTACCTTCTCTCTACTTGTTTACAGGAGTATAAAAATAAAATAAAACATAAACAATAAGAAGATTGTCAAATGTCAGTCAAAGCAATGTGGAGCTTTCATATTCAGAAGAGATGCACAGACGGGTCCTTGTCAGCAGACAAAAAGGTAATGTAACCGATGAAGAAATAATAAAACTGAGGGGAGATAGAATGATCTTGTCTTTGGTTTTTGTGAAAGGGCCTGTTTCCAGTAATGTTAATTCTCCATAGGAGCTTGCCCCCATATAATTTCTTATCTAGCTCAACAACTGTTTTTTCTTTTCCGAAAAATAATTTTACACCTCTCCGACACCCAGATTTCATAATTTCAGTGAAAATGTATTTTTATAAAGTTGTCAATCTCAGCATCAAAGACATAAGTTCGTAAATAAAAGGTTATCTCGAAATTGTAATTCGCAACATAGTATAAATTTCTTTTGATAAATATTTCCAAAACATCGTATTTATTCATAACGGATGAAAACGCGCACAATTATGAAGAAAAATGCCATAAATTTGCAATTTTCTCCAGTTATATAGTTTTTGGATGCAAATTTCCATCAGAAAATCGGATAGAGCTTTACTTGTTTCATATGTGTACCAAAAATCAGCTAATTCCATGTGGTGGAACGTTCTCATATCGCCGCCTGAATGTGGTTGTAAATTGAAAGAAAATACATTCTCGACACAAAAGCCAAACGAAATATAACGTTTGGATACGGTTCACCGTTTCACCCGATGTTGAGGCCCCAATAAAGGACTACTACTGCCAGTGCCCAGTTGGAGAGAGAACGATGGGAATGTGTGCGCACATCTCCAGTATCTTGTACTACCTTGGGTATTACAGGACGCTGGAAAACCCTCGACCATTACAACCACAGGTAAAGAAATTCCGACAAAACTTGAAATAGTTTTCCATGCGGCAACAGAGTGCATATGTCGAAAGTATGTTTGGGGCTCGATATGAAAGATCCCCGTTACCATGTGACTAAGCAAACATATAAATATAGGTATTATACAATCGCCGGTAGCTATGAACAATCCCGTAAATGCGAAAACCAACCAAAACCATAAGGAACACGTTTTGTTTGTTGTTCTGTCTATTTGTCGGCCAATGTCTTCAACCACGGGGACTTGCGAAGTAGCCATCTTGGATTTTTTTTATGAAAAAGTGTTTCTCTCACTTTTTTCATATCTGTGTACATATTCTCAACATACCGAGCAAATACTCTCGTTTTTTTTTGTTAATTATCTAAAGAAAGTCGAAAATCGGCAATTCAACCATAGGCTAATTCAACCCAATGATGTCTGATGCCTTCTGAATTCAATTTTCCAGTTATATCTTGTGTGTTGGCACTATGGTATTCCATTCCTGTTGGTTTGCACTCACATGGTCACAAACAAATGCACAAATTTGGTATTTGACTTTTTAACCTGCATGGAGAAGTAAAAGCTGACCCATCTTATCCATCAGATATAAGTCAACAACTTTACAAATATATGTATTTTTTTTACACCAACCATAATACAAAAGCTTAACTAACCTCCCTGTTACTTCCAGGATAGTTGTTCCAGGAAAAAATATTAACAGTGTAAATGGTAACATGATAAGTGACATCACCAGACCCAGACGTAGGGTATTCTAGATAACATTGCCAGCAAGTATTGGAATCTATACTTGATACTGATCACTACAAGTCCTCTGTACAACATTAATATTGCTTACAGATGTATGAGAGATTCTATATGAGAGAAGGTGTTTTGTTTTCATCATAGATTAATCTGTTGACTGAGATATCCTGGTTTCTGTGTGACACAAATTCATTTAATTTTCACAAGATATGCCTAGCTAGGATTTCTCGTCTGTTGTATTTGTCTGCTTCTCTTCTCCTTCATTAAATCTCAGTCCGCACTCATTCAACTTTAAATACTTCATCGTCTCCATCTTTAGGTTCTGATCTACATTAAACATCTCACGCCATGTACCAATTTTACCTAAAATAAAAAGTAAAAAAGGAACTATTTAACTAGAGAAAGACTACCAAAATTGTCCTCATGAATTTGTCTGTAATGTTTTTTCCTTACACAAAAGACCAGACAAGTGTCTGCACAGTAACATACAAGATGAAACAAACATAACTGTAATCAAATTGTACATAAAGAACATCTGTTGTTTTCATAAGAATAATGATAGTTACCATCTTTGTCCTAGTCACCAAAACATTTTTCATTAAATTCCAACTCATTGACAGTTTTCAGTTAAAGATCTCCATCCCAGAATGAGGTAACAAGTAATGTGTTGGCCTGTATCACAAAATCCTGACATTGTTGTAATGTAAATATATATATTACCTCTCCGTATGAAATCCTGGCCTTTTTTATCAGCTATTCCCACCTCCTTCCACCATGAAAAATTCAGATTTGGGTTAATTTTCATCACATCAAAACTACAGTGTGTAGCAATCATTTTTATCTCCATTGGGTGAATGTCCTTGCCCAGAAATTCTGCTATTGTTATCACAGTACCTCCCATGTCCTGTAGGGATAGAAAACAGCCAGTACAATCCCTAAAATGTCATTATTGATCTAAAAAAACTTTATTTTCGGAACTCATGCATTTTCTTTTTACAATTCAAAATTGGTTTTTGAAATCAATGCTACATTTTTGACAATTTGGTTATGGGTACAAAACTTCATGGAATATTGGTCCACACAAAGTAGATACCAGGAACCATCTTACATAATTACTTGTTACATATGGATGTATTTATTATATCATAGAAGTGCAAAATTCACTTGACAGTAAGTGTTGTGTAAAAAAAACTACATATAAGTGCTCCGATGTCATGGTACCTACCTCAACAATGTCCTCGTATTTCAGAAACAGAACATTGGGTGAATCTCTGATGTCCCAAAATTCCTTCACATGACGCCACCAGGGACTATATGGAACTGTGGGAGATATTTAAGTATAGGATTATGTGATCATACTTAAATTAAGTACAACGCAACACTCCTAACCATTATCACCATGATCCATGAAATAGACACCATAACCAAAAGGCCTTCATCACCATGATCTATAAATGACCATCATAACCAAAAGGCCTTCATCACCATGATCTATAAACAGCCACCATAACCAAAAGGCCTTCATCACCATGATCTATAAACGACCACCATAACCAAAAGGCCTTCATCACCATGATCTATAAATGACCACCATAACCAAAAGGCCTTCATCACCATGATCTATAAACGACCACCATATAACCAAAAGGCCTTCATCACCATGATCTATAAATGACCACCATATAACCAAAAGACCTTCATCACCATGATCTATAAACGACAACCATATAACCAAAAGGCCTTCATCACCATGATCTATAAATGACCACCATAACCAAAAGGCCTTCATCACCATGATCTATAAACGACCACCATAACCAAAAGACCTTCATCACCATGATCTATAAACGACCACCATAACCAAAAGACCTTCATCACCATGATCTATAAACGACCACCATAACAAAAAGACCTTCATGATCTATAAATGGCTACCATAACCAAAAGACCTTCATCACCATGATAATAATCGACCACCACAACCAAAAGACCTTCATCACCATGATCTATAAACGGCCATCATAACCAAAAGACCTTCATGATCTATAAACAGACACCATAACCAAAGGCCTTCATGACCATGATCTATAAACGGCCACCATAACCAAAGGCCTTCATCACCATGATCTATAAACGGCCACCATAACCAAAGGCCTTCATCACCATGATCTATAAACGACCACCATAACCAAAAGACCTTCATCACCATGATCTATAAACGACCACCATAACCAAAAGGCCTTCATCACCATGATCTATAAACGACCACCCTAACCAAAAGACCTTCATGATCTATAAACAGCCACCATAACCAAAAGACCTTCATGACCATGATCTATAAACGGCCACCATAACCAAAGGCCTTCATCATCATGATCTATAAACGACCACCATAACCAAAAGACCTTCATGACCATGATCTATAAACAGCCACCATAACCAAAAGACCTTCATGACCATGATCTATAAACAGACACCATAACCAAAGGCCTTCATCACCATGACCTATAAACGACCACCATAACCAAAGGCCTTCATCACCATGATCTATAAACGGACACCATAACCAAAGGCCTTCATCATCATGATAAATAAACAGCCACCATAACCAAAAGACCTTCATCACCATGATCTATAAACAGACACCATAACCAAAGGCCTTCATCACCATGACCTATAAACGACCACCATAACCAAAGGCCTTCATCACCATGATCTATAAACGGACACCATAACCAAAGGCCTTCATCATCATGATAAATAAACAGCCACCATAACCAAAAGACCTTCATCACCATGATCTATAAACAGACACCATAACCAAAGGCCTTCATCACCATGACCTATAAACGACCACCATAACCAAAGGCCTTCATCACCATGATCTATAAACGGACACCATAACCAAAGGCCTTAATCATCATGATAAATAAACAGCCACCATAACCAAAAGACCTTCATCACCATGATCTATAAATGGCCACCATAACCAAAAGGCCTTCATCTTACCTTTGTTATTGATGAATCTGTTGAAGAAATCATTAAAGTTGCCATTGAACCTAAATGTGGGTTTAAGGAGCTGTACGAAGTGGAAGTATGATACACAGGTGTCTTTTGGATTTCTGGCAACATATATTATCTGTAAGGACACAAACACAAGAATGAGAATTCCAATCAGTATTCCAAGTAAAATTTGACCATGATAGTTATTCTGGCCATGAAATGACCATATAGGCCTGATTTAGCTCCAATTGCTCAGCTATAACCCTGATTTGTTATTTTCTTCTGACTTGTCCTGACCTTATCTTTGAGGTAATGCATTCAACTTATAGAAATAATGACCTGCTCTAACAGCACAGGTTCCAATACTTTTATGTTTTAAACAAAAATAACTTTTCTCTCAGTTGTGTTGTTGCCTTTCAACAAATGATTCTGGCTTAATACCTTTGCATCACTCTTTCTCACATTCTTTGACCTTTACTATGTACTTCTGCATTGCTCTTTAACACTCCCTTAGGGATGGTCGGGTGGTGCGGCGGTAACGCACTCGCCTTTCACCTAGCCATCTGGGGTTCGATTCCCGGAATGGACGTGAAAATGTATGGGGTCACCTGCCCTACTTCGTGGGGTTTTCCCGGGTACTCTGGTTTTCTCCCACACTAAGACCCCTCGTGTGCTTCCATCCAAGCCAACAAGAGTGATTTATATAAGTTGGAAAAACTTGCTTTGTAATTGTTGTAAAATAAATAAAGATTATATCTATTATTTATTTACCCCCTTAGAGGTAGTCTTTACCAAATATCTCATCCTCTCTCATGCACTTTGACAGGACCCTTAACCATGCACATTTGACCTAACCCCTCTCACACTCTTTGGTGGTGACCTTGACAAGGTCCCTTAGCTTTTCTTTGCTTTACACTATTTAACACTTTTTCACAGTAACCTTGACTGCATACCTTTGCCTTGCCCTCTCTAACATTCTTTTACAGTAACCCTGACTGCATACCATTGCCTTGCCCTCTCTAACATTCTTTTACAGTAACCCTGACTGCATACCTTTGCCTTGCCCTCTCTAGCATTCTCTTACAGTAACCCTGACTGCATACCTTTGCCTTGCCCTCTCTAACATTCTTTTACAGTAACCCTGACTGCATACCTTTGCCTTGCCCTCTCTAACACTCTTTGGCAGAAGACTAAGAGGTAGGTGTGACTTGATTAGACGAGGCGATTCCATCTTCTGAATACTTTTGATGCCAGGATAGGAATATTCAAAATATGGGAATCTTTCCTCTAGTGGCATCGTTTGGACACGAACAAAATCTCCCTCAGAATTTACCAGGTCCACCATCTCTTGTAATAATGTTGTACCTGACAAAAACATTCAAAATTCCCAAGTAACATGCCATATTCACAGATAATCTATACTGCGAGTACATGTGTGGTTCAGACTTGTAATCTATCAATGTGTCATGTAATTACTCATGTACGAAGCAACACACTTCAGTAACAATGTATTATCTGGCACTATATCAAGAATCAAGAAACAAAGGGCTGAATCATATGAGAAAATAAAATGGGATTAACAACCACTTTGTAGTTTAAAATGAAAAAAATGAGATTTTCAAGTCTGTGATTATGTTGTAAACAATAACTAATTTATCAATACCACAGCTACATCAATTTATTTGCTTTGTCTTAACAAACTGAAGTACAATGTATAAATCTATACATCAGCTATCTAATCAATGTACAAGAAATATTATAGCTACTCAATGATATAGGCCACGTCGACTGTGCAATTTTATGCTCAATGCCATTTGGCATATCCTACAATGCCCTGTGATGAAAATTACATAGTCAAATATTTGTATTCGAGAATTTTTTCCTTATATTTTTTTGCAGTAGCCTAATTGAATTTGGCACCGGACAATAAAAAGGCAAAGTTACCTCATTTCAAATTCTGAAGTAGAATACCAACCTGACCGTGGAAATGATACCACCCAAATGTCTTTTTCGTTAGTCTCAAAGTTTTCCACGTCGTCCAGAATTTTCTCTACAAACATCGGTAAAACAGTGTCCTTGTATTTGATCATCTGTGGTCGACCTGTCTGTAGATCGTCTTTTATTCGCTCAATCCCTTTCCATCGCTGTTTGGACTCGCCCAACTCTCGAAAAATTATGGCAATGAAAAGGCATCCTCCCATCACAAAGGACAAATAAACAAAATACAAGATTTTCTCTTTGGGTATATTTTGATTCCCGCCTGAACTGCAATATCTCACTATTTCTTTTCGTTGACAAACTCTAACACGAAGATGACTTTGACATGAAGAGAAATGTAAACACCGAACTTGAAGTCGAGGACATCGATATGCCAAAGGTGTTAAAATGAACGGAATTCGGCTGTTCCTAAAAATGACAGTTTTAGAAATATTTAAACATTTCATTACCGTAAAATTATTCATCTCTGTGCCTAGTGTTGTTCTTAAAAAACTACCATCACATGTTTCGATACTTCACGCGTTGCCGACAAAAGCGGAAGTATAACTATTGTGATATTTCTGCACAAAAGAGTTCCGAAACAATTTTAATAGTTTAACCAGACCAAGTCCGTTTTTACGGACACAGAACGTTCACGTGAAAAATAGCTAAGTCTTTTTGAAACCATGTGTTTTAAGCTTGTCCGTCAATTAACGACTTCTTGCATGTAAATCGTGATAAAAGGAAGAGGTAATTGAATATCGAATCAACTGCGACCGTATGATGTAAACATCATAGGTTGGGGACGCAGTCCCGAAATGAAAATAAAATCCCAATAGAGAAGTTGAAACCATCAAGCTTACCATACAGCTTGATGGACAGTTGTCAATGTTGGTTACATTTTAGGAGATAAGTGGCTGATGTATAAAAGGCTGTCGTGTCCTTGATTTCCAATTCAGGTGGGTATGTACAATGGAACTGGTCATTAGATTTCTTTTTATATAAAGACAAGACGTCCTTAATATATCTGTAAGTGAAACTAAACGACATTTCAAAGTCTTTGTGCCTAGTTTTGATAAGCTGAAAGCGGTAATATCAAATGTGATACCTTCGTGCGTCTTTTGATCTGATAACGATAACAAATAAAGTACTATTCCCTCGTCACCGTAACCTGCATTCCAGACCTCCATTTATTAGAATAGTGATAAGGTATCGAACGAAATCGTTCAGTATCAAGGTATGAAATTATATACATCTTGTACTATATATATGTGTGTGTGTGTGAATGAAGAATAAAAGAACATTGTACTTATAGAACATTATGGAATTTCTCAAATCTTGGGGCTATTACATCTCATCACATCTGTTTTATCGCATTCATTTCGTCCAATTTTCATGGTATTTTTTTTCGGTCTTTACAATTTAGATACTTATCGGCATCACTGCTGAGTCCTAGAAGGACGAAACCGCTGTATGATGTAGCATCACTGACGAGTCCTAGAAAGACGAAACAGCTGTATGATGTAGCATCACTGACGAGTCCTAGAAGGACGAAACAGCTGTATGATGTAGCATCACTGACGAGTCCTAGAAGGACGAAACAGTTGTATGATGTAGCATCACTGACGAGTCCGAGAAGGACGAAACAGTTGTATGATGTAACATCACTGCTGAGTCCTAGAAGGACGAAACCGCTGTATGATGTAGCATCACTGACGAGTCCTAGAAAGACGAAACAGCTGTATGATGTAGCATCACTGACGAGTCCTAGAACGAGTCCTAGAAAGACGAAACAGCTGTATGATGTAGCATCACTGACGAGTCCTAGAAGGACGAAACAGCTGTATGATGTAGCATCACTGACGAGTCCTAGAAGGACGAAACAGTTGTATGATGTAGCATCACTGACGAGTCCGAGAAGGACGAAACAGTTGTATGATGTAACATCACTGCTGAGTCCTAGAAGGACGAAACCGCTGTATGATGTAGCATCACTGACGAGTCCTAGAAAGACGAAACAGCTGTATGATGTAGCATCACTGACGAGTCCTAGAAGGACGAAACAGCTGTATGATGTAGCATCACTGACGAGTCCTAGAAGGACGAAACAGTTGTATGATGTAGCATCACTGACGAGTCCGAGAAGGACGAAACAGTTGTATGATGTAGCATCACTGACGAGTCCGAGAAGGACGAAACAGTTGTATGATGTAACATCACTGACGAGTCCTAGAAGGATGAAACAGCTGTATGATGTAGCATTACTAATGAGTCCTAGAAGGACGAAACAGTTGTATGATGTAACATCACTGATGAGTCAGAGAAGGAGGAAACAGCTGTATGATGTAACATCACTGATGAGTCGGAGAAGGAGAAAACAGCTGTATGATGTAACATCACCGATGAGTCAGAGAAGGACGAAACAGCTGTATGATGTAACATCACTGATGAGTCAGAGAAGGAGGAAACAGCAGTATGATGCAGCATCACTGATGAGTCAGAGAAGGAAGAAACAGCTGTATGATGTAACATCACTGATGAGTCAGAGAAGGAGGAAACAGCTGTATGATGTAACATCACTGATGAGTCAGAGAAGGAGGAAACAGCTGTATGATGTAACATCACTGATGAGTCAGAGAAGGAGGAAACAGCTGTATAATGTAACATCACTAATGAGTCAGAGAAGGAGGAAACAGCTGTATGGTGCAGTGCAATTCATTGCTAGATACTACTGTATCTAATTCTAAATTGATGTAAGACAGAATACAAGGCATTTGGAACATATCGCGGTGGTGACAGAGAATGAATGGAAGACCCCATAGCGGAATTACACAGCAGTATCCTTCATTGGTTTGACTTATTATGTAAGGAACATAAGAGCTATGGAAGATACACGAGCTGATTGTAAGATATATATGTCTCCGAGTTTGTTATATAACACGTATATATGTCTGCGAGTTTGTTATATAACACGATTATGTCTCCGAGTTTGGTATATAACACGTATATATGTCTCCGAGTTTGTTATATAACACCTATATATGTCTCCGAGTTTGTTATATAACACGTATATATGTCTCCGAGTTTGGTATATAACACGTATATATTTCTCCGAGTTTGTTAAAATTGCAATTTACAAAATGTGGCTAAATTTCATTTTACAGTTTCTATTGTATGTTTAAAGACGGCACCCCCATGGAAGGAAAATCACAAATTGGGCATTGATACAGGCTGTGCAACATCGCCTCATAGAATTGCCCAGTCTGGAAGAATGATGCCTGCGGTAAATTGTCCTTACAATAGCAGCTTATTATAACTAGGGAAAACGGTTGAAGCCGACACCGGGAATATCTATTGATGATTGTTGTTTACTTCATGCCGCTCCTGCAAGTAATAACCCTAGTTACCCCGTTGCTGACCCCATCAACTTTTGAGCACAAATGTGTTTTGGCAATTTCAAAGGTCTGAGGAACCTTTAAATAAATTTCTTCTTCGGATTTTTTTTCCGGAATCTGAAATTACCGATTCAGTTCTGTATGTTACATACAGTGAAACTTGCCGTTCTTGAAGAATACAACCATGCAATGTCAACCAAAATCATCAAAACGGGGATATCGTGTCATTTTGTAACATGACGAGAAAGATTCTATAGCGCTTACTCCTTCAGTTTTGTGACTCTCGTGGAAATCTCGAAAAAAAAACCCCAATAGTAATCTTTTTTTAGTTCGAGTGCATCGCAACAAGATAGGAGATGCCTCCGTACATGCGAAGCTTTCAATTGAGGCGACATACCTGCGAAATAGTTCAATGCATACGTAACGGTGTCAGGTGTAATAATTGACTGGTGGAAAATGTGCCCGGCCCCGTTAATTACAAGAATGTATCCGTTCTCTGTTCACCTGTTATACCTTTATCGTATATTCAAAAACCAAGGTTGCGGATATACAAATTAAATCTCCTTGAGGGTGTTATTACAACGATAACAGGGTAGATTCGTAATAAACTATAATTGAAAAAGGGCATCTCTCGAAGAAATTTCTCCGATTAGAGTCTACTGTTAGAGAATTTTGATATTTTTTTATTCAGTCATCCCAGACAAAGTCACAGGGATTTATTGCCCTGTTCCTTACCCATTGTTTTTCTGTTGCCTGTGTCTCCAGCCAATCTAGGACTACTGTAGGGATTCTGGTCATAGTTCACATACACCAGTAGGTCAATGTCTAGTTACCTTTCTTTCTTTTTTTGTGGTGATGGCAGGGCCATTTGCTGTATGTCATAAAACATACTGAAACTTGGCAGAACTGATAATGTGACAGTAAATGAATATTTAGTTGACTTTTCATACAAAATGGCCGCCAAATGCAGGTTATTGATTGGTTGAAAAAAAATAAATATCTGAATTCTATCAAATTTGATAGGAAGGCCTTTCATGGAACAAAGATTACTATTGTAGCCTCAATTTCACACTTCAAAAAAACAGCAACCATTTTCAGACAGCTGATTGGTCAGGATTTATTGGATAGCAATCACAATTTATATAAATAGATACAAACAATGCTGATGTTTATTTTGTTGTTGCTGCTGATTGCCTAAGTAATCTTTATATCTATATGTACTAATAGACTGTTGTCATTATTACTTACTGGACCCTCCAAGTCACGGTGATATAGGTACACTGTTGGATATAGGTACACTGTTGTCATTATTACTTACTGAACCCTACAAGTCACGGTGATATAGGTACACTGTTGTCATTATTACTTACTGGACCCTCCAAGTCACGGTGATATAGGTACACTGTTGTCATTATTACTTACTGGACCCTCTAAGTCAAGGTTTAATTGACGTTTTTTAATGATGGAATAAAGACTCTGTTTTCCTGTAAACCAATTCTCAAAATGTCAGTCTCATTATTTCTGTCATATTAATGAAGAGCTTGGTTGAAAATAAATTAAACGTTGATAATGTTTTTATTAACATGAATATGTAATGTCATGTTTTCTCTAATCAATATCATACAAAAATATGTTTTATTTAACAAATAAAGTACACATATTGATTCCTTTTTGTTTAGAGAGTGATGATCTAGAATCTCCGCACTCTGTCTTCCCCACATGCGCGACATTCTGCTGTTTTTGTTCATCTTTGTATTATATTTCATGCCAGTCATTTTGAACGCAGATACAACATGATTTTCACATTAAGTTCTACCACAATTCACTTCCCACAATGATAAATTGTCTTAACAGATTTTCCTGGGCCATATCAGCTGCCCGTGTGGAGCCTCAGTAACCGTTTGGTCCGTCTAATTAACGCCTCCACAAATCCATAATGGGACCTATTCTTACAGAAACTCTGAAACAAATAGAAAAATGGTTAGCTTTAACCTGAATCCAAACCTATCCAAAAAACATGAAGATCACAAAAATAAAATTATCTTCTAAAACAGATCATGGCACTTAATTGTTTGATAAGTGATCTTCTAAAACAGATCATGGCACTTAATTGTTTGATAAGTGATCTTCTAAAACAGATCATGGCACTTAATTGTTTGATAAGTGATCTTCTAAAACAGATCATGGCACTTAATTATTTGATAAGTGAGAGAGAGAGAAAGAAAAATAATGAAAATGAAATAAAACAAAACACAAGAAATTGTTTAAAAAAGTAAAGTAAGAAATAGTGAGTTATTCACTCTGTGTATTTCCTATAAATGTTTTTACAAATAGACTATAAATGTATGATAGAGTACGTGATTTCCAGAACAGATCTAGTCCGTCACCAAACATTCATTGTGTTGTCTCCTACCTGATTAATTTCTGACAGTTTTTTTAGTAAGGACTCTGTAATGGCAGACGCTGCCGTTTGTTTAAGTGTAGCTAGTTCCTCCCTTGTCACGCCCCGGGTCAGCTCATCTCCCTCAGAGAATGTCGCCCCCACATCAGATTCGTAGAATGTGCTGCTTGTACCTGTCATGTCTGCATCAGAAACAAGTGGTTAAAATGTGGCAAGTAAAAATATACTTCAGGATAATTCTGAATTCCCAGTCACATTCCAAATCATGGCTTTAGATTTGTTGTAAATCACTAAGAGTTTGTGAATGCTTTATTTTGTGAACTTCTTCAGACATATTCGTGAATAGAAGATTTCGTGAATATGTAGACTCTGATATTGGTAACAGAATCAGCATGGATGTTATCAGGAGTTATTTTCATACAAATTATCATGAGGAATTGGAATTCCTGATTGATTCTTCGTGTGTATTCAGGCAAAAATAAATCCCATGCGAAATTGTGTTTCAAAAAGACTTTCTGATTTTAATGTAATATTGTCATATGTATATCATCTTAAAAATAACTTCTGATAAATCAAACACTTTAAATTAAACAACTGTCAATACCTTGTAGGCGACGCATCTGTTGCTGTCGTTTCACCTGGGACTGATAAAGTGTTGGCTGTTGGTCTATAGGTACACAATGTAACAGGTAATACTCTAGATGGCGCCACAGTATGAATATACAGTTCTCTATAATATCTACACACAAAGTTAAGGAACATCAGATCATTTCAGTAGCAGGTAGTTCAAAATTAGACACCTGAACATTCTGACTGTACCAAACAAATACAGATATCCTACATCACAGAGAACTGTTACAGAGAAAGCAGGTACAGGTGTGTATGTTCAGATATCCTACATCACAGAGAACTGTTACAGAGAAAGCAGGTACAGGTATGAATGTTCAGATATCCTACATCACAGAGAACTGCTACAGAGAAAGCAGGTACAGGTGTGTATGTTCAGATATCCTACATCACAGAGAACTGTTACAGAGAAAGCAGGTACAGGTATGTATGTTCAGATATCCTACATCACAGAGAACTGTTACAGAGAAAGCAGGTACAGGTATGTATATTCAGATATCCTACATCACAGAGAACTGTTACAGAGAAAGCAGGTACAGGTATGTATATTCAGATATCCTACATCACAGAGAACTGTTACAGAGAAAGCAGGTACAGGTATGTATATTCAGATATCCTACATCACAGAGAACTGTTACAGAGAAAGCAGGTACAGGTATGTATGTTCATGGTACTGACATTCTTCAGAGTTGTCAGAGAGACAATGGTCACAGAAATACTAACTTGTTCTCATGTTTACCTGTGTATACACAGAGAATACAACAATAAGTCAAACAGATTAGGAAAGGATACATGCCAGGTGTTTAAGTTCACCACCTTTGTAGTGGACAATCTGTGCAAGGCGTCGATGTGCCAGGTGCTGTCGCTGATGTGAAGGCATTTTCTCTGTAGCAGGAACACCTGAAAACTATAAGGAAGACTATAACAGAAAAATGTTATAAACTACTTATAAAATGATTTCTATCTCTGACACACTGACAGGGTATGTTATAAACTACTTATAAAATGATTTCTATCTCTGACACACTGACAGGGTATGTTATAAACTACTTATAAAATGATTTCTATCTCTGACACACTGACAGGGTATGTTATAAACTACTTATAAAATGATTTCCATCTCTGACACACTGACAGGGTATGTTATAAACTACTTATAAAACAAGTTCGTCAGAACAATACACCAAATGAGATAAGTTTCTCTCACAGTCTAAATGACCAAGTTTCTCTCACAGTCTAAATTACCAAGTTTCTTTCACAGTCTCAACTACCAAGTATCCACTTACTTCCTTCAGGTCATCTGTGCTGAGGTCAGCAAGACTTTGTAGTTTACGGAAATGTTGTTGATGCGTGTCGTATACAGACATGAAGCGTCCAGCACACTGACGCAGCTGATAGACAATAATGCCCAGATTAGGTATGTGGGCTGGAGTCATCGACGACAGAGAAAACTCTGAAAGAACATGTCCACTTAATTTACATTTACAGAAGAATTTTTCAGCTATTCCATGCAAGTAAAAATATTGTTTTGTTAATAAAATATAAATGTTTAAGTAAGCTTGATATCAAATCTGAGAAAGTTATGTGATAGAATCATGAAATTTTTCTTGTCCATCATAACATCAGGATTGATCACAAATATCTTTATTTAGATAAAGAAGATTTCCTACCCTCTGTGTTTCTGATGTCTCGAGCCAATGCTTCCTCTAAACTTGGACCAAAAATCACACGACAAAACTGCGAGCAATAACCTGAAAACAGATCAGAACCCAATGAGTATTGTTAGATATAGATTTCTAATAAAAAGTTTTAGTAAAACAGGCTTAACTCATTTATATGATGTTTTTCCAAGCACCTGGCTGTCAGTGCTCTTCTCATTAAAACTTACATATTCTAGTTCTATTTTGATGATAAATCAATTTCATTTCATTTTCTTGTAGAAATGTAGAAAATGAGACTGCCATTTTGTTGTCAATGTAAACAACTTGACATAAAGCAGCAGATTTCACAATTTAAACAAATGAATAGTATGCTTGTTACACAAATGAAGTTAAGTATAACTATTCTATATTCATTATAATTGTTAATTTAACATTTCATTAGCCAAGTCCTACATATGACCATACCTTACTGGTAAGTAAAACAAACATGATGTCAATAGGTGTCAGAAAAGAAGTAGGCTATATTTACTGTAACCTCATGAATCAACAATAATTGTGACATCTCAAAGACACATAGAGGAGGAGTTAACTGTATATATCTCCAATAGTATGTGAAGCCAGAGTATAGTTACTGTGAATATGACCTGTTGTATATACTAGTCACACCACTCTTACAGATACTGGGTTTACATATTATCAGTGAGCATGACATTAGCCATGTCGTTTCATACATTACCTGATGTAGATATTACAGCTCTACAAAATGATGTAACGTTGGCTGCGACCTCCTGATAGGCTAGCGTGACCTCAGCCTTAAGGTCACGACCTTCCTGTAACTGTTGACTCTCAAGATTGCGAAGCTGTTTGGTGAGTTTCTCTGATAGACAGTACTTGGGAACAAGTGCTAACATCTGTCGTTCAATCCGTGTTTTGTGACCTCTGAATTCAATTGCTGCTGTCTCAATGTCATCAAACTCGGCATCAGGAATGCCTAGAGCACAGTTGAACAGAAGCGACCTTATTTACATGGCTGGACTTGTCTCAAAGTAAGCCAAACAGACCCGACAACTGAAGCAAAGGCTTATACATGTAGTAATATTAACATAGGGACACCTGATAAAACTCAAATGAAGCGACTCATTTCAATGAAAACTGTTTTAATCCCACTGTATAACCATCCACGGTAACTACTGAATTTCCCTTTATGGTACTGATGGTGTGAATCACTGTTATGTAATATATATTAACAAATGATTTTCTATTTTACCAGTTACATGTCAGTAATCACAGTCAGGTGCTGTGTACAAAACAAACCTCTATAGTTGGCCCTGGCAATGACAGCTGTTGTCAGAGCAAGCTCCCGCAGAGCAGACAAATTTAGTGATGGCTGACGATCCCTCAATATATTGTGGAACACATCCCCATGGGCAAATATAAACTGCAGCACCTGTAATGGACCAAACCTAGGGTATATAACATGTACTGGAAGGGAATACATACCCTGCTGATTAAGGATTTAACAAGAACAACACGATACATACAAAGTTCTGTACAGGTTGCTCGGCTTTACTCTTGGGTCAATGATACAAGAAATGATGTGATGAATATTACAATTACCCTCCAGCGTTATGTTTCACTTACTTTTTTTCTTTTTTTTTTTAGGAAGAGAATTATGAACTTTGTACCTGAGACAACCAACAACCATAAGTCCTGTATGTTCTCAATCAATTTAACAGATCAACAGTTGCCATTTTGTGATAACATTTTCTAACACAAACTAAGTGATTTTCTTGACAAGCACAGTCCAAATAATTTTGAAATAACAAATTCTAACATACCTGGTTTCCAGCATCCTGGTTTTCTATACCAAGAGAGGTGAGTAGAGCCAGACACAGCTTCAGACTGGCAAACAGTACATGTTGATATCGTGCCATTGGACTAGGGATGAACTCTTCCGACTCCAGAAATCCCTGGGTATCACGTGACCTGAGTAGAATTAAGTGTGTGATCATCAAATCTATACACAACATAGAGGATATTTAAAAGACTCTCTTGTTTATTAGGAAATATATCTAGTACCATAAAAACCATCTGTTCCTGCTCACTTCAGTTCTATATGATGTAATCGACTGGGGTAGACTTCCACAGGTTAACATCTCTGTCTACGAAAATCTTACCTTTCCAGCTCTGGTCGCATGTCAAAGAAAGAACAACCAGCCAGACGCTGCATGAGGCCACATCGAAGGATAGTATGAGCTCCAGTAGTGGATTCTGCGACCCTTGTCAGCAGGCCCTGAAACAGTACATATATAACATATACAGGACTCAAGTCAGCAGGCCCTGAAACAGTACACATATAACATATATACAACACTAGTCAGCAGGCCCTGAAACAGTACACAATAACATAAACAGGACTCAAGTCAGCAGGCCCTGAAACAGTACATATATAACATATATAGGACTCTAGTCAGCAGGCCCTGAAACAGTACATATATAACATATATATAAGTGTCAATGCCATTAGATATCTACATTACTAATATAAATACTTTAAATACCTATATAACCTACTGCAGTCAAAAAAAGTTTAAATCACACAATTTCTAATCAAAATCTTCTTACAGTAGTAGTGATCACCACCCTCTGTCACTCAATAAATCTACTGTCCATTTATCAAGCAAGAATACCTTGGCAACAGATTAACAACCAGTTATTAGATGTACACAAATGATAATATGTGATATAGAATTACTGAATAATGATTTTCTATAACTGTACCAAACTTTTTGGACTCACAGATTTAGAGAAGATATGAAATTCCAGAATCAGAGAATGTAAAGTTCCAGGTTCTGGGACAAGAGTGCAAAATTGTACCTTCCAATTTTCGACTCATAGATATAGTAGATGGGAAGTAAGGACTTTTGGGACAAGAGCGTGTAACTGTACATACCATTTTAGACTCATAGATGTAGAGGATGCGAAGTTCTGGGTTCTGGGACAAGAGTGTCTGTAGTTGTTCATCGTCGTGCAGTATACTGTCCACCAGGTGTTGGAGGTAGCCTTTAGAGGATAGGAATGTCAGCCACTGTTGGAACTTATCCATGGACAGAATCGTATCCATCACAGACAGCGCTAACATCTGACAATATCAAGCATGCAATGTCACAGACAACTCTTAAATACACTATGTCTCAAACAACCTTAAAACACAGCATGTTCCAGGCAATTCTAACATAAATTGTTATGTCAGAGGCAACCCTTAGATACAGTTGTCTCAGGCAACCCTTAGATACAGTTGTCACAGGCAACCCTTAGATACAGTTGTCACAGGCAACCCTTAGATACAGTTGTCACAGGCAACCCTTAGATACAGTTGTCACAGGCAACCCTTAGATACAGTTGTCACAGGCAGCCCTTAGATACAGTTGTCACAAGCAACCCTTAGATACAGTTGTCTCAGGCAACCCTTAGATACACAATATGGATAATAAAATTGTTATAGTAATTATTTATTCTCTTTCTCATGAATACCATAAAAATGAATCAACATTACATACCCGACCAACATCATGGCCATCACAGGCATCTCGACACACAGTCTCCATAAAATTGTCCCCGTATGATAAGATGGTGGTCACGTTCTCTTTCACTAGCTGGTCATACTCCGAGTCTGATGCAGCCAAGATTCTCCCTCCCACTCCATCCTGGTCCTTGTCTAGAGAACAGAGTCATACTACCTCAGTGACAATGTACAATTCTGTATACATGAATTATACATATTGATCCAGATTTTCTTTCAAGTGCTGACATCATTACTGAGCTAATACTTAAACAAGTTTCATTGTGGTACAAACAGGTTTAGATACAATTTTAAGCAGGTAACCTGAATCAACTTTAAACCAGACAAATTGTTTCTTGTTTTCACTGACCTGGGTTGGTGGTAGTCTTTGGTTTCTGTGCGATCTGTAGATAATACAGCAATGATCCATACAAGTTGGCTCTCACTCTCTGTAACCCTCCACCTGTAATAACAGAGAAACTGGTACTACACAAACTAGTTCTACCCAGCCAAAGTACAGAGAGAACAACATACAAGTTGGCCCTCACTCTCTGTAACCCTCCACCTGTAATAACAGAGAAACTGGTACTACACAAACTAGTTCTACCCAGCCAAAGTATAGAGAGAACAACATACAAGTTGGCCCTCACTCTCTGTAACCCTCCACCTGTAATAACAGAGAAACTGGTACTACACAAACTAGTTCTACCCAGCCAAAGTATAGAGAGAACAACATACAAGTTGGCCCTCACTCTCTGTAACCCTCCACCTGTAATAACAGATAGAGAAACTGGTACTACACAAACTAGTTCTACCCAGCCAAAGTATAGAGAGAACAACATACAAGTTGGCCCTCACTCTCTGTAACCCTCCACCTGTAATAACAGAGAAACTGGTACTACACAAACTAGTTCTACCTAGCCAAAGTACAGAGAGAACAACATACAAGTTGGCCCTCACTCTCTGTAACCCTCCACCTGTAATAACAGAGAAACTGGTACTACACAAACTAGTTCTACCCAGCCAAAGTATAGAGAGAACAACATACAAGTTGGCCCTCACTCTCTGTAACCCTCCACCTGTAATAACAGAGAAACTGGTACTACACAAACTAGTTCTACCCAGCCAAAGTACAGAGAGAACAACATACAAGTTGGCCCTCACTCTCTGTAACCCTCCACCTGTAATAACAGAGAAACTGGTACTACACAAACTAGTTCTACCCAGCCAAAGTACAGAGAGAACAACATACAAGAAAGCTGTAATTTTTGTACCTTATAAATGAAAATACTCTATGAAGGCTTTGAGGAACAGATGTAGGGCATTTTTGGTCTGGGGTATGTTCTATGAGGGCTTTGAGGAACAGATGTAGGGCTTACTTCATCAGTGGATGTGTTCTATGAGGACTTTGAAGAACAGATGTAGGGCTTACTAGATCTGTAGATGTGTTCTATGAGGGCTTAGAGGAACAGATGTAGGGCTTATTTCATCAGTGGATGTGTTCTATGGGGCCTTTCAAGAACAGATGTAAGGCTTACTTCATCAGTGGATGCGTTCTATGAGGGCTTTGAAGAACAGATGTAGGGCTTACTTCATCAGTGGATGTGTTCTATGAGGGCTTTGAGGAACAGATGTAGGGCTTACTAGATCTGTAGATGTGTTCTATGAGGGCTTTGAGGAACAGATGTAGGACTTACTAGATCTGTGGATGTGTTCTATGAGGGCTTTGAAGAACAGATGTTGGGCTTACTAGATCTGTGGATGTGTTCTATGAGGGCTTTGAGGAACAGATGTAGGGCTTACTTCATCAGTGGATGTGTTCTATGAGGGCTTTGAAGCACAGATGTAGGGCTTACTAGATCTGTGGATGTTTTCTAAGAGGTCTTCCAGAACTTCCTACTATACATCAACTTTCATGGCCACCCACTTTCATGATTTTAGCAGTGATTTGCTTTAGTGAATTTAGAGTCAACATTGTAGAATTCAAAGTGCATGGTCTTCATTTAAACCCTGTAAAATTCAGTATCTCATTGCTAATTTGGCCACAACAGGTGAACATACGGCAAAATACTTAAGGACCTGGTGCAATAATGATCTGTTGATCATTCTATACTGAAGAAGTTGCTGGCCCTGAATTCGGTTCACTGTATATCATGACTAATGTCTACACCAAGTTCATTTTCCCAGTTTAAATCCAAGGAAAGTTATGCATCAGACACAAACTAAGTGAAATCATTCTGTAACTATGGGATTGCGAACTCTGAATTTGGTACACTGCACCCTGTTTTAGTATGACCAATGTATACACAAAGTTAAATTATCATTGCTAAACTTTGGGCAAAGTTATGTGCCAGAGACAAAAGGATGGATGGAAAGACAGATGTACTAATAAAACAGCAACTGTTCACTGCCTAAATATTTTTTGGGGAGCATAATAACTCAGTCTCATTAACTTTAAAATTCATGAGGTGTCTCAGGTTATTGTTTACACAGCAATGTGAAGGTCAATGACAGGTACTTAACAGCTTGCATGGCTTTGTTTAATGGTTACACAGTGAATCCAAACATGATTACAGATCTACCTCCCCACCCCACCTAGAGTGTTACATCTACCAAATACAAATTCCTCAAACTGCCTGCAAGTGATAAATATTAATTATAAAAATGCAATAAATCTGAGATATGATCAGATGACCCAAAAATCAATGTTCTTTATCTATAGAAAAATTTGCGATAATTATTTTTTGTGACTTTGCTTTGATTTTTGAAATTTGCAACACTATATTGCAGGCAAAAGAAAGCCTGTTTACAGCATAAGCTAAATTGATTCATGGATGTGTTCTGCAAGGCCTTTGAGGAACAGCTGTAGGGCTTACTTGATCTGAGAATGTGTTCTATAAGGCCTTTAAGGAAAAGCTGTAGGGCTTACTTGATCTGAGAATGTGTTCTATAAGGCCTTTGAGGAATAGCTCTAGGGCTTACTTGATCTGAGAATGTGTTCTATAAGGCCAATGAGGAACAGCTGTAGGGCTTACTTGATCTGAGAATGTGTTCTATAAGGCCTTTGAGGAATAGCTCTAGGGCTTACTTGATCTGAGAATATGCTCTATAAGGCCTATGAGAAACAGCTGTAGGCCTTACTTGATCTGAGAATGTGTTCTTTAAGGCCCATGAAGAACAGCTGTAGGGCTTACTTGATCTGAGAATATGCTCTATAAGGCCTTTGAGGAACAGCTGTAGGGCTTACTTGATCTGAGAATGTGTTCTATAAGGCCTTTGAGGAACAGCTGTAGGGCTTACCTGATCTAAGAATGTGTTCTATAAGGCCTTTGAGGAACAGCTGTAGGGCTTACCTGATCTAAGAATGTGTTCTATAAGGCTTTTAAGGAACAGCTGTAGGGTTTACTTGATCTGAGAATGTGTTCTATAAGGCCATTGAGGAACAGCTCTAGGGCTTACTTTATCTGAGAATGTGTACTATAAGGCATTTGAGGGACAGCTGTAGGGCTTACTTGATCTGAGAATGTGTTCTATAAGGCCTTTGAGGACAAGCTGTAGAGATGTGGCAAACAGTGTCCTAGATCCGGAGCCCTCGCCCCAGGCCACGGATTGACCAAGGGTGGTACTGTTATCCTGGAGCTGAGAGGGGTAACGTGTGTATCTGTCACCATCTGACGTTGTTTGCTCCACAGAGAAACACTGACGAAGGTTTGCCATAAGTGTGAGAATTACACCAGCAACTGGTGATGTCAACTCTGTCAAGGCAGCCTCATCAGCAACCTGTAATACCATTAACAATGCATCATAAGTAAAACCAAGAAATAAGTCATTCAAACATTAACTTCACTGTATCGGGTGGAAAATTAACTTTTATTACAGGATTTTAATTTTGAGCCATCACAAAATTATTAAATGATTTCAACAACACAGAAATATTTCTCTGCTAACACGATACAATACTTTTTGTAGAAGATCCTGTAGCAGCTCGAACAAAATCGCCTGACGAGTGTCACGGGGCAGCAGGTCCTCGGGACAAGATGTCAGTAGGATCTCAGCCACCTGTCGCCAAGCCTCAAAAGACTGCTGCTTCACCTTCAGGTTCACACGAACTTCATTTCTGTCCACAACATTCCTCAGTATCCCCTGTACCTCCTACAAACAATCATTGTCCCAAAGTGACACTATGATGTCAAAATCATGCTTCATTTATCCTCCAAAAGATGAAAGTGTTTGGCACAACAGTAGAGTCACAATTACAGGAATTATGGTAATAAATAAAAAACAGAACAAGAGTTCCTCGGAGCTGTATGTGTCGCCTGCATAAAGTGTCACGGTCACCCAGAAATTGGATGTGACAATGTGATCCCTAAGTGTCCACCAGCTCTGCAGGCAACACAACAATGAATGACATACCAGTGGTACAGAACTATGTATAATAAGTTACTTTGTAGGATATAGGACAGAACAGAACAATGAATGACATACCACTGGTACAGAACTATGTATAATAAGTTACTTTGTAGGATATAGGACAGAACAGAACAATGAATGACATACCAGGGGTACAGAACTATGTATAATAAGTTACTTTGTAGGATATATGACAGAACAGAACAATGAATGACATACCAGTGGTACAGAACTATGTATAATAAGTTACTTTGTAGGATATATGACAGAACAGAACAATGAATGACATACCAGTGGTACAGAACTATGTATAATAAGTTACTTTGTAGGATATATGACAGAACAGAACAATGAATGACATACCAGGGGTACAGAACTATGTATAATAAGTTACTTTGTAGGATATAGGACAGAACAGAACAATGAATGACATACCAGGGGTACAGAACTATGTATAATAAGTTACTTTGTAGGATATAGGACAGAACAGAACAATGAATGACATACCACTGGTACAGAACTATGTATAATAAGTTACTTTGTAGGATATATGACAGAACAGAACAATGAATGACATACCACTGGTACAGAACTATGTATAATAAGTTACTTTGTAGGATATATGACAGAACAGAACAATGAATGACATACCAGTGGTACAGAACTATGTATAATAAGTTACTTTGTAGGATATAGGACAGAACAGAACAATGAATGACATACCACTGGTACAGAACTATGTATAATAAGTTACTTTGTAGGATATAGGACAGAACAGAACAATGAATGACATACCAGTGGTACAGAACTATGTATAATAAGTTACTTTGTAGGATATAGGACAGAACAGAACAATGAATGACATACCAGTGGTACAGAACTATGTATAATAAGTTACTTTGTAGGATATAGGACAGAACAGAACAATGAATGACATACCACTGGTACAGAACTATGTATAATAAGTTACTTTGTAGGATATAGGACAGAACAGAACAATGAATGACATACCAGTGGTACAGAACTATGTATAATAAGTTACTTTGTAGGATATAGGACAGAACAGAACAATGAATGACATACCAGTGGTACAGAACTATGTATAATAAGTTACTTTGTAGGATATAGGACAGAACAGAACAATGAATGACATACCACTGGTACAGAACTATGTATAATAAGTTACTTTGTAGGATATAGGACAGAACAGAACAATGAATGACATACCAGTGGTACAGAACTATGTATAATAAGTTACTTTGTAGGATATAGGACAGAACAGAACAATGAATGACATACCAGTGGTACAGAACTATGTATAATAAGTTACTTTGTAGGATATAGGACAGAACAGAACAATGAATGACATACCAGTGGTACAGAACTATGTATAATAAGTTATTATTTTGCAGAGTTTATGACCCTAGGAACAGCAAGGGTGATACTGAGGCAGGGTCACCTATTGGCAGCGGCTGGCTACCTTACTGTATAACAAACAGAATGCCCATCACATTCAGAGCAATGAGGGTAAAGTGTCTCATACGAAGACAACCATGTCATCAACTACCTGTCTGTTTCTCAGTTTTCTGTGAAAGACTGACTAACTAGAGAATGGAGCACCAAACCATATACCTTGTATTTTCATCAGAGGTTATTTAGGCCAATACTCTTACCAATGGAGCTACTGCGGCCCCTCGCAGGCAAAATGACATGGTTATGACATATGACACTATAAAACGTGATAAACTTCGAACTTCATCATATCAACGATTAAGGTTCTAAATATCAGTATTATTCGCTAATAAAAAAATGAAATAAAAAAGAAACAAGGTGGCGACTGCTCCCCTGAAATTTTTTAGGGACAGAAAAACATACAATCCTAAGTTATTTGAAAAGCAATGCCCAATAAACATTTCTGACAATTTCCTCCGAGACTTACCTCCAAGATTCGATGTCTCTGAGCAGCCATGACGGTTCCCTGGACGTTGTTTAATTCGTTTGTGAGGACCTGATGCAGTTGGTTGATATTAGAACAGACAACTCCATGCTCGCCCACATTCTCAGTGGAGCGAATTACTTTCTCAATCATGGCTGGCTCAAAGAACTCGAGAGACAGAGGTGTTGGGTAGTGTTGTGTAAAGTCTACAGTATCTAGGAGACACAACAATTTTCGTCTGGTCTGTTTACCTGTAACATAACAATCACAAACAGTAGTTTTAGAATGACTTTTCATCTTTAATAAGGAATGGTACATAATGAAATATCAGGGTTTTCTCTGGGACCCTCAAATTTCGATGAATGTACGAACCTGGGACTCACATAAGATATAGGGTATTTGAGGGTTCTTTGCGAATTCTATCAAATGCAGATTTTTGAAAGTTTTTTCTGGGTTATAAACCACACTAGTATATAAGCCGCAGAGCCAATTTTAACCAATTTTTTTAATTGATTGATATAAGCCTCACCGCAATATAAGCCACACCCTTTCTTACGATATAGTGACCACTACTGTTGATGTTTGATATACCAGTAACAGATAATGGAGGCAGATTTTAGGAAGTGCTAACCATTATGTTGACCAAAGTTTGTTGATATAACAGGCAACAGAAGGAAATTGATCAAGATCATCGGTGAAACATTTAATAATAATAATTTTTCCAAATGAATAATAAACAGGTAATCCTTTATCTAATTAATGTAGTTGTAAAACCCTAAAATAGCAAATATCAAACTCATTTGGTTTGGGTGCCTTCACAGAATGTCTATGCACAGATATAGGGCCTATTGTCACATACTGTTTACTAAACAATTTCTCCATCAGTGTCTGTACTGTTAAATATTAATTAATGCCTGCATAATTTTCATCTTTTAAATTTCTTCTTAGAAAAACTTACCACGAAGTTGTTTGTTCTGTGAGAAAGAAGACAGATACATCGAGGTGTCTCCAAATCTATCATACAAGGCATCTGTCTCCTCTACACCACCGGCATTAAGACCTGTGTACAATACAACACAATAATTATAACTGTTTTAAATATCAGAATAAAAGATTGTCCTAATAATGATGTATTTTGACAAATCATTATTTTGTCATTCACAATTCTATAACCAAACCTCACAGAAACAAGTTCTTTCAGTATAAAGGCACCTTAAGGTAACAGGAAAGGATACCAGTAATGGTGACCTTGACCTTTTGACCTTACAATTATCCCAACTAAACACTTCAACAAATAAGTATCTGAGTTAGACTGCTACAAACTTGAAGTGTTACGACAAGGTAACTTATGTTCTGACCTTGACACTAAAACCATGATCCCTATACAACACCTCTTAAAAAGACTCAAAAAACAAATGAATTTTTATCTCTTCTGTATGGTAGATGATGATATTGGAGTAATAATCATGATACTGCATGAGATAAGTAGTTAACACCTTGATTTTGATGTCAAGGTCGTGCCAGTCAAAAAGACGACAAACATGTAAATACCTTTACCCTGGTCGTCCTGATTGTCGTCCAATAAGAGCCTCATCAGGCGCTGTGTGTGAGAGCGCTGTCGGTTTAGAGATGTCATCCTGAGTTCTACAGCCACTGTCTTAAGGAGCCAAGCCTGATGGCTGGTAACTGGGTGGGCTTCACAGAACAAGAAACACAAAATTAAATTCAATGTCAAGAAGATAAGAACTCCCAATAAACTATGTCCAAACCTGAAAATAACACTTACACAGAATAAATAGGGAGTACTTCCTATTGATTGTACACAAACCTGAAAATAACACTTACACAGAATAAATAGGGAGTACTTCCTATTGATTGTACACAAACCTGAAAATAACACTGACACAGAATAAATAGGGAGTACTTCCTATTGATTGTACACAAACCTGAAAATAACACTGACACAGAATAAATAGGGAGTACTTCCTATTGATTGTACACAAACCTGAAAATAACACTTACACAGTTAAAGTAAATATTCCCAATACTTTAAGCCTAGATTAACAGGAGCCTCATTGGTCATCTGTCATTCATTACTATTTCACTGAAAGTCTGTTGTCAGTATACATATATGGCAATATGTCAAAATAACAGTACATATGATCTACTTCTGTTTCAACTTTCAGTCTTTCTGAAGGTGTTTGATTCCAGCTCATCTTTGATTTGTGTTTTTTTTTTGCTTAATTCTACAGGTTTATGTGCAAAAAAAAAAAAAAAAAAAAAACCACTTTGAATCATATATCTCTATCTCAATAACAAAAACATTGAAATTTCAAACCCAAGTTTTTGAATGGGTATGTCCATCTATTAAAATTGCTTCCCTCATTTCAAGCTGGAATAATTTGCAACTGAATATAAACAAAATATAGCAAAAAGCAACATCCTACATAATCTATAGTGAATTTCAACCCCTTTCCAGAGAGAAACAGATGGCCCGGGGTTATGAATCTCACAAAGATTTGCCAGATTTGGATTTGAACAAGATGACTGTTAAAACTGCAGTCAACTTGATCCCTTTTGACCCTGCCCCTCAGGGCTCTGAAGGCGGGAACCATATAATACACAACTTTGGTGCATCTTATACCATTGAAGCTTCCTACACAATTCCAGTAAAATCGGAACAGTGGTTTGGAAGAAGACATAAAAATATAGAAAAGTAAAAGAAAAACAGAGCAATCGCATTGTCCACTTACCATACATGCCAGTAGCATAGGGGAGGTGATGTAGTTGTCGGTACAGAAAATCCCTTGATGTACGAAGAAATCTCAGGGTTGGGGCAGAGGTATCTTTATTCGAGCAGAGTTTGAAGATAAGTTTGTAACATAGCTCAGCCAGCTGTGGTGTTTCACGGAGACAGGATGGCCCGCCTGGCGACCCCACTCCCTGGTCCAGAATGCTCAACACTGCATGAAGGCAGGTCTTTGGTGACCCTAGGATTCCTGTCAATAACACACATACATCAGAGAGTGGACTCAATAATGACGCAGTATGATAATATATATCACCTTCTTGTTGAAAAAAAAAAAGAGTAGGATTTCAAGGAGTTTTTTATCAACAAGGAGCTGCAAAGTGTGGCATTATCCCCCACACCCAGTTGTTGATGTAAAACCCAAATATGATTTATATATATACTGGTATAACAATTTGTGATGTCACTCAATTATGTACTGCTACTAACACCTGAAGATCTAATATTATGGCAGTGCTAGTGAAAAATGTAACATCTCCTTGTGTCATTTATCAATTAAGTTTCCCTGCATCTCCTGAACTTCAACATTATATGTGTAACATATAACCTTATAGCAAATAGTCAAAGTTTGTATCTTGATGTAAATCCAGTATGTTTGACCGTTGATATTTGAATAGAATTAGGTATTGTCTGTTAACAAATTTATGCAACCCTCCATAAGCTCTGGAGTAACACAAGAAATCAAAAAATGACAAGAAGAATATCTCAAAGAATAGCTTAGGATTTCTTTTTACTATAAAAATAGAGACATCGATAATTATATATAATATGTGCTATTCCTTATTACAATATAGTATCAACATGACATTGCCTTCAGAAAACAATGATTTGTCCACATTGATGATTTACCGACCTTGGTCCTGTAAGTTAGTCTTGTGTACAGGTTTCTGGAGGTCAAAGCCCAGTAGAAGGTGTGCTAGGTTGGGCGCTGGCTGATCTAGACAGTGTAGGATAATCCGCAACAAGTTCTGACGAGTGGAGTTCCTCACAGTACTCAGGACGTTCATTTCCACAGCTGTAATCATAATTGTATATATTAAGTAAGCTGTAACATTTGTGCTAGAGTTTAACAAGAATTTGTAGTGACAATGTGACAATGGTAACCAAAAACCTTAACCATTAGGATAGAATTTGTAGTGAAAATGTGACATTGGTAACCAAAAACCTTAACCATTAGGATGTTCATTTCCACAGCTGTAATCATAACTGTATATATTAAGTAAGCTGTAACATTTGTGCTAGTGTTTAACAAGAATTTGTAGTGACAATGTGACATTGGTAACCTAAAACCTTAACCATTAGGATAGTCGTACGTATTTTTAAATCTGATTGTAACAGCGGAAATATTTATCTAAAATACTAACATGTGTTTGTATATGTTAATTTGTAACATTACTTACCTGCTTCATCAAGTTGAATAACTCTGTTCTGAACTACTTCCTCAGCCTCGTCCACCTCCAGACATTCCACAAAACCATGAAGTAAATTTAGGTCGCATGATGTTTTCTGTCGAAAAATCATTTAAATTTTGGAATGGATTGAACTTTTATGAAATTTTCAATAAATGGAAAGATACCCTTATATTATATTACCTTTCAATTTGATTATAAAATATTTAAATTGTCAAGATTAACGAACTATCGCGGGTGAACTGACTCCTCGCATACACTATATATTTCACTTCATCTTTCAATGATCATCAGATCATGAACTTTGTAAACGTCCCTAAGAATTAATAAAATAACCTATATTACAAATGAAACAGTCAATCAGTCTCCATCACATCAAATAAACAAATAAGAAACGTATTATTTCAATGAAAATTGAAAAAGAAAAATACTTCATTACAAAAAAAATCATGGTCTAGAAACTGCTACATGCTCTAATTTGGACAATTTGCTTCCATGTTGCATAACTGGGACAACACATTTGACAGATGGGAGTAAATAAATGATTTACAAACAAAAAAGTTTTCTACATAAAACATCCAACATATCAAAACGTTATGCATCTGTCATCTGTTTCAAATGCTAAATGACTACATGGTAGCCAGTTAGTAAAATGTATCAAGTGTCCAGCTGACTGGGATCAACTCACAGCCAGTTAGTAAAATATTTCAAGAGTCCAGCTGACTGGGATCAACTGACGGCCAGTTAGTAAAATGTGTCAAGTGTCCAGCTGACTGTGATCAGCTGATAGCCAGGTACTGTAGTAAAATGTGTCAAGTGTTCAGCTGACTGGGACCAGCTGATAGCCAATTTCTGTAGTAAAATGTGTCAAGTGTCCAGCTGACTGGGACCAGCTGATAGCAAATTTCTGTAGTAAAATGTGTCAAGCATCCAGTTAACTGGGATCAGCTAATGACATTATCAATGTAGATATAACAATTCATTTACCTTATCAGGTTTCATAATAGAACAACTCAACTACCTGGTCAAGGCATTCAGGGCAAACGTGGTAAATCTAATCTTTTTATTTGTAAGGCATGTGGTAAGTACTCAATGCCAGTTGTTATTGGTGTTGGCAGTATACCAAATACAATACCTCTGTTCTGGGGATAACACTGTTTCATCCTTGTCAAATGAGCTGAAGTAATGTCTTACCTCCTCGGCAGTAAAGAGATTAAGAAGTTTGGTCTGTATCGGGGCTGTACGACACACACGGTAGAGAACTGTCATGGCGGCCTGGGCATGATTTGGTAAGAACGTGCTGAAGGTAATGTACCTGTAAGTTATACAACAATAACTGGTTAATCAGAATAACAATTGGTCAAACAAAGGTTTGGGGTTAATCATCTGAATCGTCTCAGAAAACACAAACATGAACCAAAGAGACAAGTCAATATATCACCACACTTGCTGTATCGTTCCTCTACTCTGTGTAGAGCTCATGGATTGCAAACATATTCTAAAACAAATTTCATATCACTTATGCACCTCAATAAAAACATTTGATATGTACATAGATCTACAACGAATGAGAACTAGTACCAAACAGAACAACTTACTTTGCAATGTTGACGAGATGATCAGGTTTGCCTGTGCGTGGATTGATCCCCAGTAGAAGTCTGTCCATAGAGACAACCATGATGGAGGCTCCAGTCTCTCGACAAGCCGACACAAACTGGTCAGCCTTCTCTAGGGTATATTCAATCATATGCAGACAAAGTAAGGCTGTCCGCTCCATCTGGACCTTACCTGGCAAAGAATGCAAACTTACTTTACTGTAAACTGTTAAACTATAAAGTATATCTACCATTACAGAAATCACCTACATTAAAATATGTGTCGCACAGACGATCATGTGATATTATGTGTTTGATCTAGAGATATATGGTAGCTATCTTCCAGACCTTGTAACTCAAAGTCTTTATAAAACAGTTCATTAGCTTGAAGACCTTCAGTGTACTGAGTTATATACAGATGTTACACAGTCCTATTACATGCAAACTTTTTATCAGTTTCTTATTATTTTCACAACTGGATATTTCTATATCTTATACAAACAATGATGTATGTTACAAACCTGGGACATCTGTGTAGGTCTCCCTAATATCTTATACAAACAATGATGTATGTTACAAACCTGGGACATCTGTGTAGGTCTCCCTAATATCTTATACAAACAATGATGTATGTTACAAACCTGGGACATCTGTGTAGGTCTCCCTAATATCTTATACAAACAATGATGTATGTAACAAACCTGGGACATCTGTGTAGGTCTCCCTAATATCTTATACAAACAATGGAGTCTGTTACAAACCTGGGACATCTGTGTAGGTCTCCGTAATATCTTATACAAACAATGATGTATGTTACAAACCTGGGACATCTGTGTAGGTCTCCCTAATATCTTATACAAACAATGATGTATGTAACAAACCTGGGACATCTGTGTAGGTCTCCCTAATATCTTATACAAACAATGGAGTATGTTACAAACCTGGGACATCTGTGTAGGTCTCCCTAATATCTTATACAAACAATGATGTCTGTTACAAACCTGGGACATCTGTGTAGGTCTCCCTAATATCTTATACAAACAATGGAGTATGTTACAAACCTGGGACATCTGTGTAGGTCTCCCTAATATCTTATACAAACAATGATGTCTGTTACAAACCTGGGACATCTGTGTAGGTCTCCCTAATATCTTATACAAACAATGGAGTATGTTACAAACCTGGGACATCTGTGTAGGTCTCCCTAATATCTTATACAAACAATGGAGTATGTTACAAACCTGGGACATCTGTGTAGGTCTCCCTAATATCTTATACTAACAATGATGTATGTTACAAACCTGGGACATCTGTGTAGGTCTCCCTAATATCTTATACAAACAATGATGTCTGTTACAAATCTGGGACATCTGTGTAGGTCTCCCTAATATCTTATACAAACAATGGAGTATGTTACAAACCTGGGACATCTGTGTAGGTCTCCCTAATATCTTATACAAACAATGATGTCTGTTACAAACCTGGGACATCTGTGTAGGTCTCCCTAATATCTTATACAAACAATGGAGTATGTTACAAACCTGGGACATCTGTGTAGGTCTCCCTAATATCTTATACAAACAATGATGTCTGTTACAAACCTGGGACATCTGTGTAGGTCTCCCTAATATCTTATACAAACAATGGAGTATGTTACAAACCTGGGACATCTGTGTAGGTCTCCCTAATATCTTATACAAACAATGATGTCTGTTACAAATCTGGGACATCTGTGTAGGTCTCCCTAATATCTTATACAAACAATGATGTCTGTTACAAACCTGGGACATCTGTGTAGGTCTCCCTAATATCTTATACAAACAATGGAGTCTGTTACAAACCTGGGACATCTGTGTAGGTCTCCCTAATATCTTATACAAACAATGATGTCTGTTACAAACCTGGGACATCTGTGTAGGTTTCCAGCTGGTTGATGACATCATCAAGTATTCTCAGTATCTATAACATAGATATATATTATCTATAACAAACCACAGACATACATTGTTATGTAGAAACAGCACCAATCTTTCAGCAAGTCAGAATAGAGAGTTAAGAAAAGAAGGATATTTCAAGGTCATTGTGTCATGCTTTTGCTCACCTTAATGATAACTGATCATATCATACAACTAGAAAAAAGTGCCAAAATTTGTGTACTGTTCACTTTGAAAATACTCACTCAATGTTTATATCATTGAATTTTAATCAATTTCATTAATTTTGATACCAGAAAAATTTGATTGTAAAACCAATAATTGAACCTTGGAATTGTAGCTATTTCCATGGTAACTAAACACTAAACCCACACCAAGGAATAAAGACTGACATACCAAAATACACACGAGCGCAACAGCAAAACAACCCTGCGGTAGAGTATAATAATAATCAAATAAATTACACATAAAATAAAACATAAAAACCATCCTCTCTACATCTTAAAGGTGTACTCTGGCTAATATTTACCATGCGAAGAAGGCTTGAGTCGTTAAGCATGTGCACCAACAGAGTATGACCGGCAGATTTGTTGGCCACTACTGTTCCTCCCGACTGTACCTCAATCAGCTCATCCACAAAGTCCTCGGGAACAATATCATGTTCACGCAGTAATTTACTTAGGATGTTTAACACAGATGCAGCAATCTCCCACTACAAATAATAGAAATATCACATGACAGCAGTGCCAAGGTGACAAAATACCATAACCATAGGGGATAAACACAATCAGTTGGTTTTATCAAATCTATGAGAAATGCTATATTTATCAGTGGGTCAGAAACTTTGACACTTCCTGGACTATAATGTTGACAACATTAGGTTTATATTACAAATAGTATAAATACATTTTCCATCCATTTTTATCACTTTTTCAAATTTAGGTTGGTTGGTTGGTTGGTGCAGTGGTATCACACTTGCATTTCATCTAAACATCTGGGGTGATAAATAAAAGTTGGAAAAACTTGTCATGCAATTGTTGTTAAATAAAGTTAAAGTTCAATTTTGTTTCAAATTTCCATGAAACCTAGACTGATTAATATAAATTGGAAAAACTTGTTAAACAATTGTTGTAAAATAAATTAAATTAAATTTTATGTCTAATTTCCATGAAACCTAGTGAATAGTAAATCACCTTTTCGCCTGGAGTTTTATAGGCTCTAGAATTAAACCTTAAGAAAACGGAGTCCCTCAAGAAGAGTAGGTAGGGATCAAAGCCTGGAGCCCTGATTCCTGCCCCAAGTCCTGCAGGGACGGGAATATCAGTCAGGGTATCCATCAGCGCCAGGAAGCCCTGAATCATTGGGTACTCTTCATTACGACTCTCGATCTCATCCAGCTCCACCTACAATATGAAACAGTATCAGTGACAGTACTCAGGTTTATCTGACTTCAAGAGATTACTCTGAGAACCTAACTTACTGTGACAGAATCTGTTTCAATGCCAGCTATTAGAGAGAACCTAACTTACTGTGACAGAATCTGTTTCAATGCCAACTATTAGAGAGAACCTAACTTACTGTGACAGAATCTGTTTCAATGCCAGCTATTAGAGAGAACCTAACTTACTGTGACAGAATCTGTTTCAATGCCAGCTATTAGAGAGAACCTAACTTACTGTGACAGAATCTGTTTCAATGCCAGCTATTAGAGAGAACCTAACTTACTGTGACAGAATCTGTTTCAATGCCAGCTATTAGAGAGAACCTAACTTACTGTGACAGAATCTGTTTCAATGCCAGCTATTAGAGAGAACCTAACTTACTGTGACAGAATCTGTTTCAATGCCAGCTATTAGAAATAGAACATCAACAAGTAACTCTGACAAATCAATAAGTTTTCCAGGAAATGTGTCTCAGACCAGAGACATTAGAGTAAATAAAAGACAAGTAGCTGTTTTTTTTCTCATAACAAGAATACTTTGACAGATGAAAGTGTTCTACCTGGATCCCTCCTGCACCCTTAGACTGGATTGTAGGCAATATCTGGAAAATTAAAAACAAGAAACATGAAGACAGTTCATTTTATTTTCTTATGACATAGTTTAGATTTTTGCTTGTTAACATAACTGTAAAATTATCATGTTTACATACGTCTAATATCAATATGTTTACATATCTGTCATTATGTTTACATACCTATAATATCATTATGTTTACATACCTGTCATTATGTTTACATACCTGTAATATCATTATGTTTACATACCTGTAATATCATTATGTTTACATACCTGTAATATCATTATGTTTACATACCTGTAATATCATTATGTTTACATACCTGTAATATCATTATGTTTACATACCTGGCATTATGTTTACATACCTGTCATTATGTTTACATACCTGTAATATCATTATGTTTACATACCTGTCATATCATTATGTTTACATACCTGTCATTATGTTTACATACCTGTAATGTCATTATGTTTACATACCTGTAATATCATTATGTTTACATACCTGTCATTATGTTTACATACCTGTAATATCATTATGTTTACATACCTGTCATTATGTTTACATACCTGTAATATCATTATGTTTACATACCTGTAATATCATTATGTTTACATACCTGTAATATTATTATGTTTACATACCTGTCATTATGTTTACATACCTGTCATTATGTTTACATACCTGTAATATCATTATGTTTACATACCTGTTATATCAATATGTTTACATACCTGTCATTGTTTACATACCTGTAATATCATTATGTTTACATACCTGGCATTATGTTTACATACTTGTAATATCATTATGTTTACATACCTGTAATATCATTATGTTTACATACCTGAGACACCTCTAGAGTCTGCCAAAGACTAGCAGCAATGTCAGGTGAGCGTGCGAAGGCAGCCAGAGTGTGGAACAATTCAGCCTTTAGAGGCGAGGGAATGCTACAGGTAACAAGTCCGAACATGATCATCACCACTGACCACTGCTGGTTCTCACACAGGGCAATACGACAGTTCTCATTCTGAAAGTCAGACGTATCTTTATTAAAACCTCAAACACATAAATAATCATCACCACTGACCACTGCTGGTTCTCACACACAGGACAATATGACAGTTCTCATTCTGAAAGTTAATACCTACTTTCTATAAAACCAAGACCACATTATATTATCTGGTAAAGTTCACACTCCACACAGTGTGAAAATGCCGACTTAATCATTACTTTTCTGCTTTGTGTTTTCTGATGGTGATTTGTATGTAATTTGATATACTGTGCTGTAACAGACATATAGTTTTACTGTGGAACCCACTTAAGACAATTTCTGATATCATCATGATATCTCACTTACTATATTTTTCTTCGTATCAAATATTCCCTAATATATGAATTAAGTAAAACAGAAAAATTCATTATAATTATACAGTCCAACATGAAATATCAGGTATTTTCGTATCACTTTGTTAAAGCTCCAATATCAATTTTATGAATATCAAAAAAATTTGATAAAAGCCTGGCTTGGTAAGATAAAAAAAACTCTCCAGCAAATGTTAAGTTTTTAATAATCATACAATATCATTTACTTCCTGAAAATCTAAGTGAATAAAAGGTTACAACAATCTTTTCTATCTTCAGTTTAGCAAAGTTCATCTAAAACAGCAGTGAAAGTAAAGATATCATCTTGTATCTGATATCACTGCTTACAGTGATGAAATTTACCAATTATGGTAAAAACCGACATAAATCTTAATTTTAATTACAAAATGTGATTACCCATTAAAATTACCTTGTTTGTTTTTATCCAGCATTCAGTCAGTAATAAGTTTGGTAATTAAGGTTGTCCCAGTCACGGTTCACTTGACCTAAATACTTTGATCTTTCATTGTAATTTACTGATTATGATATTTTGTCTGGAAAACAGAATAATTAGCAAGTTCCCTGTACCAGTTTTCCGAGAGTATCTTTGAGCTTATGATAATGATAAAAACATAACATGGTTTACCTGCTCTGCTATGGTACGTGTGAGTTTAAGGACCGTGACAAGGCCTTCCAGTTCAGCAGGGGTTATGCCTCGTATGTGTGGTGCCCTCTGATGGTGAGAGGCATCTGCAGATGTCGGGGCTTCTCGTCTCAGACTTGTGTAGTACTGGTTGAGAGAAGTAAAGATGTGGTTCCAGGACACAGAACTGGCCGGGCCTCCTAGAAATATGAATCAACTGTAGATATCAGAAATGTAAACATTTTAGATTGTTTTTTTGTTTGGGTAAATTTTCCAAAACTTCCCAGAGAGAATAAAATCCAGGCTTTGCTATTGGGAAAATATCTGTATCTGTTAAAATCATAGTAAAGACTTGAATTAAATAGCATTTCTTCAATATGAATTTCGTAACACAAACAGTGTATGCTGAATAATGAACGAAAGCTTTCCTGGAACACATGAAGTTAAGAGTGTAAATCTCCAGATAAACACCTAGAAAATGTTTAAATATAGTTGTGTATCAAGTCTTTGATATAATTAATAATAATAATAAATACAAAAAATATCATATTCTGAACAAACACCTCCATTGATAAGAATTAAGAGCTGGTGTGGCGAGCCCCTATAACAGAGTAAATAAAGGATGTTTGTGTCTTCAGTAATAATAAATATATTTCACTCGTGTGTCAAATATTTTTTTTTTTTTTATTTTGTTACCTACTGGGATGTGAAGTAAGCTCTCCACAAGCATCTCACTTGTCCAACAAGTGTGACTGGTTTCCTAATGACAATTACCTGAGCCCATCCCATTACTCTTTAGGAGGTCGAAGCAGTGATGAGCCCCCTGTTGGTTGCTTGATAGGCCAATAAGCATGTTGATGTATGGCTGGTATAGAAATGATGGTAAAAGGTCGCCTGCCAGACGCACAAATTTGTAGAGTGCAACCTAAAGAAAAGAACAAGGAGAGTTTATCTATATTACATGGACTACAGGGGGAAGAGAGATGGTTAGAGTTTTTTTATCCATCCCTGCTATAGCAGTTCCATACCCAGAGGGATTCTCATCAAACTTCACACATTTTTAAAACACTAAAAGATCTTTATCAACGATGAGTTTCAGGGTTGTTGGGTCAATGTCAAGGTCATTGTTACTATTTTCAGAAATACATTATCAGTACTCCAGCAGCTTAATTCCTTACAGGCTTTTAATAAACCTCACACATTTACAAACATCCATAACAAATTTATATATTAGTGATCAAATTCTATTGTCAGATCTTCATACCTATCTATTGCCTGGCTCTATTTAAACCAGTAACAAACTAATTCTATACTTTTCTGTTTCCCAAACCGACAACAAACATCTTTATAAATCCTTACGGTGTAATAGGTTGTAGGGGACATGTATTGCTTTAGCAATACTCAAAGTGTTCTTGTTCTATATAGTAACCTATCTCTTTGGGGGCCAGTGGGGGACATGTGTCTCTGTGGGGGTCGGTAGGGGACACGCGTCTCTGTGGGGGTCGGTAGGGGACATGTGTCTCTGTGGAGATCGGTAGGGGACATGTGTCTCTGTTGGGGTCTGTAGGGGACATGTGTCTCTGTTGGGGTCAGTAGGGGACATGTGTCTCTTTGGGGTCGGTAGGGGACATGTGTCTCTGTGGGGGTCTGTAGGGAACATGTGTCTCTGTGGGGGTCTGTAGGGGACATGTGTCTATGTGGGGGGGGGGAGGGGCGCAGTAGGGGACATGTGTCTCTGTAGGGGTCGGTAGGGAACATGTGTCTCTGTGGGGGTCGGTAGGGGACATGTGTCTCTGTGGGGATCGTAGGGGACGTGTCTCTGTGGGGGTCGGTAGGGGACATGTGTCTCTGTTGGGGTCAGTAGGGGACATGTGTCTCTTTGGGGTCAGTAGGGGACATAAGTCTCTGTTGGGGTCGGTAGGAGACATCTGTCTCTGTGGGGGTCTGTAGGGGACATGTGTCTCTGTGGTGGTTGGTAGGGGACATGTGTGTCTGTTGGGGTCGGCAGGGGACATGTACCTCTTTAGAAATACTCAGTATGATAGTTGTATACTTACCTGTCTCTGTGGGGGTGGTATATATTTACCTGTCTGTGTGGGGGCCAGTATATAGTTACCTGTTTGTGTGGGGGCAGTATATAGTAACCTGTCTCTGTGGTGGCGGTATATAGTTACCTGCCTCTGTGGGGGTCATATATAGTTACCTGTCTCTGTGAGGGCAGTATATAGTTACTTGTCTCTGTGCGGGCCAGTATATACTTACCTGCCTTTGTGGGGGCAGTATATAGTTACCTGTCTCTGTGGGCCTAGTATATAGTCACCTGTCTCTGTGGGGGCTGGTATACAGTAACCTGTCTCTGAGGGGCCAGTATATAGTTACCTGTCTCTGTGGGGGCCGGTAGTGATACATGGACTCATGCAGAGAGGAGGCCTCCTGAGGACACCAATATTCCAGACATAAATCCAAGCCTTGAGGGTCCTTATTGTAGAGATCACCAATCTGTAACATGAAGATTACATTATAAAACATGACAAAGTGGCACAAAAATATAGGAAACAATAATGTAACAGAAATACAAGATATAGTTCTACTTGGTTCACTGGGATAAAGGAGTCTAGGAGATATACCAGTATAGATATTGTGATCGAATTGTGATGATATCATATCTTCCTCTGTTACTACACTAACTATGTGGATTTTTTTAATCTGGTAGTTTGGTGTAAAAAGACTTTGTTATTTCATAGAACTGTTTACAAATTGGAGACATTACCAACTGGAGAAGGTACTCAAATCCCCTGTTTGGAGAGATAGTTGTATCCAAGCCATCCTGTGTTTGGGACATGAGAATTCTCGCAGCCTCATCACTACGGTTACGGAGTTCTTTCACCTACATACAAAAACAGAATTTTCTCAGAATTTACAACAGCTTTATTAGTGGTTAAGAAATTATTGGGATTGTGTTGCCAAAAATCAACCTGTAAAAACAGTTACAAAACAAATGCAACAAAACCAAATAGAATTTGGTCTCCAAAATCAATTTTTTTTAGATCTTTAAACTTATCAAATCATTCATGTTTGCATGAAATGTACTTTTTGAAATAATAAGGTAAGCAATATATAAACTTTCCCAATGACATTGTCACTGGTATATCTACCAATGTCAGTAACATCAACCGTCACCTACAGACTGAAGAGTCAGTAACATCAACCATCACCTACAGACTGAAGGGTCAATAACACCTACAGACACCTACAGCCTGAAGAGTCAATGACATCAACTATCACCTACAGACACCTACAGACTGAAGAGTCAATAACATCAACTGTCACCTACAGACTGAAGGGTCAATAACATCAACAGTCACCTACAGACTGAAGAGTCAATAACATCAACGGTCACCTACAGACTGAAGGGTCAATAACATCAACAGTCACCTACAGACTGAAGAGTCAATAACATAAACCGTCACCTACAGACTGAAGAGTCAATAACATCAACCGTCACCTACAGACTGAAGAGTCAGTAACATCAACCGTCACCTACAGACTGAAGGGTCAGTAACATCTATCGTCACCTACAGACTGAAGGGTCAATGACATCAATGGTCACCTACAGACTGAAGAGTCAATAACATCAACGGTCACCTACAGACTGAAGGGTCAATAGCATCAACAGTCACCTACAGACTGAAGAGTCAATAACATCAACCGTCACCTACAGACTGAAGAGTCAATAACATTAACCGTCACCTACAGACTGAAGAGTCAGTAACATCAACCATCACCTACAGACTTAAGGGTCAGTAACATCTATCGTCACCTACAGACTGAAGGGTCAGTAACATCAACCGTCACCTACAGACTGAAGAGTCAATAACATCAACCGTCACCTACAGACTGAAGGGTCAATAACATCAACTGTCACCTACAGACTGAAGAGTCAATAACATCAACCGTCACCTACAGACTGAAGGGTCAGTAACATCAACGGTCACCTACAGACTGAAGAGTCAGTAACATCAACCGTCACCTACAGACTGAAGGGTCAGTAACATCTATCGTCACCTACAGACTGAAGGGTCAATGACATTAACGGTCACCTACAGACTGAAGAGTCAATAACATCAACTGTCACCTACAGACACCTACAGACTGAAGAGTCAATAACATCAACCGTCACCTACAGACTGAAGAGTCAATAACATCAACTGTCACCTACAGACTGAAGGGTCAATAACATCAACCGTCACCAACAGACTGAAGAGTCAATAACATCAACCGGCACCTACAGACTGAAGAGTTAATGACATCAACGGTCACCTACAGTCTGAAGGGTCAATAACATCAACCGTCACCTACAGACTGAAGGGTCAATAACATCAGCCGTCACCTACAGACTGAAGAGTCAATAACATCAACCGTCACCTACAGACTGAAGGGTCAATAACATCAGCCGTCACCTACAGACTGAAGGGTCAATAACATCAACTGTCACCTACAGACTGAAGAGTCAATAACATCAACCGTCACCTACAGACTGAAGGGTCAGTAACATCAACTGTCACCTACAGACTGAAGGGTCAATAACATCAACTGTCACCTACAGACTGAAGAGTCAATAACATCAGCCGTCACCTACAGACTGAAGAGTCAGTAACATCAACTGTCACCTACAGACTGAAGGGTCAATAACATCAACTGTCACCTACAGACTGAAGGTTCAATAACATCAACTGTCACCTACAGACTGAAGGGTCAATAACATCAACTGTCACCTACAGACTGAAGGGTCAATAACATCAACTGTCACCTACAGACTGAAGGGTCAATAACATCAGCCGTCACCTACAGACTGAAGAGTCAGTCGGCCACATAGAGTTTCCTTCAATGGCATGTATAATATAAAATCTGTCAGGAGCCACATATACTTACCTTCAGTGGCATGTGGACTAAAATTATGTCAGGAGGCCACGTATACTTACCTTCAGTGGCATGTGGAATATCAAATCTGTCAGGAGGCCACATATACTTACCTTCAATGGCATGTATAATATAAAATCTGTCAGGAGGCCACATATACTTACCTTCAGTGGTATGTGAAATACAAAATCTGTCAGGAGGCCACATATACTTACCTTCAGTGGCATGTATAATATAAAATCTGTCAGGAGGCCACATATACTTACCTTCAGTGGCATGTGGAATATAAAATCTGTCAAAAGGCCACATATACTTACCTTCAGTGGCATGTGGAATATAAAATCTGTCAAAAGGCCATGTATCTTCCTCATGTAAAATTCCTACAAATACCAAAACATCATCAATATCAACACTTTCCCCTGACTAACAAATCAAAATAAAACTGATGATGAATTTTTTATTTAATACTAGAAATGAATAAATGTGAATTAATGACATTCTATGTGTAACAGAGATCTATCTGAAATTTCCACTAGGAATTGAACCCAGGACCTCTGGATTTCAGTAAAAAGAAGCCAGTTATTGCTATCATCACACACAGAATCAGTGACTCACCTCACAGTGGAAGTCTGGTACAGACACCACTGACTTGATCATATAGTGGAACACATTGTTGTCGAGTGCCATGGTGATTAGGCTTTCATCCTCCTCACAAATCTTGTTCACACCTAGTGAAATATATATACAGAACATAAAATAATGGTCTGTGATGTGTGGAGTCATCAGTGGCTTTATATACACATATGTGTATTATCAGATACACTTGAATCTCTCACCTCCATTTTACATATATACATGTACTTAATCATGTACACTTGAATCTCTCACCTCCATTTTACATATATATATGTACTTAATCATGTACACTTGTATTTCTCTCCTCTGTTTTATATACACTTATCTATATAATAAGGTGTACTTGTATTTCTAACCCCCAATTTTATATACACTTATATATGATGAATGATTCAATCCTCCTAAAAACAGACTCTATACTTTCCAACTTTGTCCACATCAATTTCCAACCTGCATAAATTTGTTTTCATTTATAAGCTTTGTGAGGATTGCCATCACATTACACAATGTTGTCTACCAGTCCTTGTACCATTTTATTAACTGCATTTATGTATTAGGTATTAGGTGGATTGAGTAGCCAAGGACAGGCAGGTAAGGCTATTGTGACTTCAAGACATCACTGTCGATTGAGTGGCCAAGGACAGGCAGGTAAGGCTATTGTGACTTCAAGACATCACTGTCGATTGAGTGGCCAAGGACAGGCAGGTAAGGCTATTGTGACTTCAAGACATCACTGTCGATTGAGTGGCCAAGGACAGGCAGGTAAGGCTATTGTGACTTCAAGACATCACTGTCGATTGAGTGGCCAAGGACAGGCAGGTAAGGCTATTGTTACCCAAAGACATCACTGTGGATTGTGTGGCCATGGACAGACAGGTCTGACTATTGTGACATCACTTTGGATTGTGTGGACAAGGACAGACAGGTAAGGTTATTGTGACATCACTGTGGATTGAGTGGACAAGGACAGACAGGTCAGACTATTGTGACATCACTGTGGATTGAGTGGACAAGGACAGACAGGTCTGACTATTGTGACATCACTGTGGATTGAGTGGACAAGGATAGCCAGGTAAGGCTATTGTGACATCACTGTGGATTGAGTGGACAAGGACAGACAGGTCAGACTATTGTGATATCACTGTGGATTGAGTGGACAAGGATAGCCAGGTAAGGCTATTGTGACTCCAAGACATCACTGTGAATTGAGTGGATAAGGATAGCCAGGTAAGGCTATTGTGACCCCAATGTGGATTGAATGGCCAAGGACAGACAGGTAATTTAACTTCAGATATTTACATTGTGAAACAAACAGCATTGTCTATTGATTTGTTACTTAATCATGAATGAATATTTCTTATTCAATAATTCACATAATTATCAACACATTATAACATTATAAATCAGTATGGTAAATTTGGGATGACAAAACACCAAGTAAGAAGCAATAATTATAACCTTGTAACATTTCTGAGATTTACCTGCAGGAGTGTGGTACTGTGACAGCTGTCGCAGTGTAAGTCCCCAGGCAAACTGTGCTATACCTCTGAGACCCATGTTGGTCCACTGCTGACCACCGGTCAGTGCCTGGTGTATCTCCCCAACATAGCTGGCGTCATTCATCAGAGGCAGATTCTTAACAGATTCTGAAACAGGAAAAATCACATTTCACATCAGTAAACCAACTGTTTTATCAGTAAACCAATTGTTTTATCAGTAAACCAATTGTCTTATTAGGTAACCATTGTTTTGAGGTTTAAAGTTTCCTACTCACCCTCTGCATCTTCCTGCTCCAGTACACTGACATCAAAGCAATACAGCAGAGCCATAAGCAGACAGAGGTTAACCAAATCAAGGGGACCTTCTCCACTCACAGCATTAGCTCCCCTGAGGTGAGTGATAAGACGCAGGGTGCTAGTCTTGTCCAAGGGTTGTTGGGATGATAGACAGAAGAGACAGTCAGCAAGGATAAGGTTTATCTCTGTGTAGATGTCTTTAACCTAGGGCAGCAGAACAGTAGTGTAAATCATAGTACCGGGGTAAGTCATTGGATGATAAAACTAAACATTTAATTAACATTAGCTGGTCTTTCCCTGGGGACATGTGAGGTTACCCTAATTCAAATGGAATATTACTATATATTGACATGATGATACATTACCAGTATTTGTAGTTCACCCTTTCATTTGATTTGTTTTCAAATCAATTCTCAATAATAAGGAAAAAGTCATGTCGAGAAATAATATCAAACCTGGCATTAAAGTTCATAGAGTACAAACTTGCTGTTCCATCTTAGAGATATTACCAGTAATGGTATGGTAATTGTAATACTACACCAGCAAACCTGACATTAAAGTTCATAGAGTACAAACTTGCTGTTCCATCTTAGAGATATTACGAGTAATGGTATGGTAATTGTAATACTACACCAGCAAACCTGACATTAAAGTTCATAGAGTACAAACTTGCTGTTCCATCTTAGAGATATTACCAGTAATGGTATGGTAATTGTAATACTACACCAGCAAACCTGACATTAAAGTTCATAGAGTACAAACTTGCTGTTTAATCTTAGAGACATTATGGTAATGGTATGGTAATTATAATACTATGATAACAAACCTGACAATAAAGTTCATAGAGTACAAACTTGCTGACAAATTTTACATACACATACAGACTCTTTCAAAACCATTAACATCAAATAAATGTTCTAGATTTGATGTTAGATACATTTAAAGCCCCAATATACGTAACATTCACCAAAACTTTAGTGTAGAATCACACATAATTATTGAGATATTCTCTAAGATGTAGTTAAAATTAAGTTATTCAAACAATAGTTACCATGACTTTGTGCATGAAGTATTGATATATGAGCAGTTGAGACTCGTTATTTGTAAACACACCTCCATTTTAAACATGTCGCCATCGAAATTACGATTGTTGCCGAACCACGTCGGAAAGTTCATGACCTGATCTCGCGAGAGTTGAGGTTTCTACTTATAGAGGAAGCACGTGCAGAAATGTCTTCGGTAAGTTTTTGTTTACAAGCAATGTTTGGAAAGTCTTGTCGTAGACTTGAGGTATTCCTGTGATAAACATTCAGTTTTTGGGAAATTATTAGAAGGAATAATTAGTTTAGAAACGATACGACGCACAATTATAACGTAAGAATTCAGAACTGGCCTGATGTATGATCGGAAAAAAAGGAAGCCACTGGTGAACGTCTGTACTGTGTCTGCCATGTTTACACACGCGGAATATGCGCAATGTCATCGCTACGAGCGGTAATGTATGAATTATTGTGGGTCCCACATTGTTTATCTTCCGATTTATTCAATTTTTATTTAAATTGAAAACGGTCAGTTTTATTTTCTTTTATTAAAGGAAAGTATTTGTTTTGTTACATGTATTACCGGGAAAATAAGATAAAGTTTGTTTTTTTATAGTGATTTTTACGTATATTGGGGCTTTAAATCAAAATACTGAAAGATATTTTGTGTGTTGAAGGATTGAAGGATGTAAGATATGATCAGTTAAATTTTTGACTGTTTTACACAATGTTTCTTGAGTGGGAAGCTGTAAACCCAGAAGCAACAGTAGTACTACATAATTGGTATGGAAACACTACAGTTGAATTGAAACTGTATTGAAACTGTCAACAGCAGTAAAACAAAACAGAAAGAAAATTAGACTATTTACTGAGTTGTTGAGGAGACAAGCACTATTGGGTACCTGTTTGGTGTGTTTTGGAGATCCAAGAGCTCTGTCACGCTGTAGGCGGTCCATCTCTTTCTTTGGGTCTCGGGTATTAAGCAAATCTGCCAGAGGATAAAGTCATTCACAGGATAGAAAAACAAGGAATCAAAAATCATCAGAAGTTATCAACATTAATAATGGCAGCAATAAAATTAACAAAATAACCCAAAGTCAAAGACAAATTAACCAAGAGTCACATACAGACTAACCCAGAGTCACATACAGACTAACCCAGAGTCACATACAGACTAACCCAGAGTCACATACAGACTAACCCAGAGTCACATACAGACTAGCCCAGAGTCACATACAGACTAGCCCAGAGTCACATACAGACTAACCCAGAGTCACATACAGACTAACCCAGAGTCACATACAGACTAGCCCAGAGTCACATACAGACTAACCCAGAGTCACATACAGACTAACCCAGAGTCACATACAGACTAGCCAAGAGTCATATACAGACTAACCCAGAGTCACATACAGACTAGCCAAGAGTCATATACAGACTAACATACAGACTAACCCAGAGTCAAATACAGACTAGCCCAGAGTCACATACAGACTAACCCAGAGTCAAATACAGACTAACCCAGAGTCACATACAGACTAGCCAAGAGTCACATACAGACTAACCCAGAGTCACATACAGACTAACCCAGAGTCACATACAGACTAGCCCAGAGTCACATACAGACTAACCCAGAGTCACATACAGACTAGCCCAGAGTCACATACAGACTAGCCCAGAGTCAAATACAGACTAGCCAAGAGTCACATACAGACTAGCCCAGAGTCACATACAGACTAACCCAGAGTCACATACAGACTAACCCAGAGTCACATACAGACTAGCCAAGAGTCACATACAGACTAACCCAGAGTAACATACAGATTAAACAAGAGTCAAATACAGACTAACCCAGAGACAAATACAGATTAACCTAGAATCAAAATAGATTAACCCGAAGTCCAAACAGATTAACCAAGAGTCAAAGACAAATTAATCCTGAGTCAAAGACATATTAACCAACTCAATGACCAACACTAAGGAACAAATTATCAAAAAAATCATCGCAATACCTTATATCAAGATCAATGTAACATTTATAACCAATATTTTGTGTCATACCTAGAACTTTGTTGACCAAACCGTCTTTCTGGATGAGCTGGTCAGTGAACTGAGTAACCAGATTGGCCAGGTCAGGCGACAGTTCCATGGTCCAGGTACGACCTTTTCTTGACTGGACAAGTGTCCGGAGGCCACTGACCAGGCTACGCTGACCATCATAGTACAACAGGACTGCCACAAGTCCACGAGTCAGTCCAGGAAACTCAGCCTGTTTTCTCTCACCTTAATAAGAAATAAAAAAACATTTTTAGAAATTCAAGATGGTCACCTTTCAGCCATTTGATTTTTCTGATCAGTCCCAAAATTACATGGGCACAAAAAGAGACCTAGGGGAACCTAAATATGAAATTTGAGAAAGATCCATCCAATTCTTCTCAAGAATTAACAATAACAAATATTGTTTATAGAATAACGACAAGGCCCCAACAGTTGTACCATGATTTGAACAACACACCAGCTGATGATGGTGGGCTAAAAATACTTCAACTGACATATTACAGGGTGTTTTAACAAAGTACAAAAACAGATGTAAAGTGTTAGATCAATGAACTGATCCTGTCAAGTGAGCTTCATCTTGTACCATTTGATAATTAAAAGAACAGACTGACAAAGATATAGTTTTGATATAAAAAATCAAGTTACACATCAATATATGATCTGTTTTAACACGCTTTCAGAATTTCTACAGATTTAAGATACAGCTAAACATCAATAGATGATCTGTCTTTACCTTGAGTCAGAAGTTCTACAGATTTAAGATATAGCTAACATCAATATGTTATCTGTCTTTACCCTGAGTCAGAAGTTCTACAGATTTAAGATACAGCTAACATCAATATATGATCTGTTTTTACCTTGAGTCAGAAGTTCTACAGATTTAAGATACAGCTAACATCAATATATGATCTGTTTTTACCTTGAGTCAGAAGTTCTACAGATTTAAGATACAGCTAACATCAATATATGATCTGTTTTTACCCTGAGTCAGAAGTTCTACAGATTTAAGATACAGCTAACATCAGTATATGAGCAATCTTTACCTTCTGTCAGTAGTTCCACAGCTGCCACCTCGTTCATGTTGAACAAGTCACTGAGGATGAGTGCCTCCTCAATGAACTGACTGGAAAAAGTCTGACTCGTCTGTTCCCCTTGAACAGGCAAACCAACTGTGTTGGACTTCCTAACTGCATCTCGGCATAAGGTATTCTTTGGCTGCAGACAAGGGAAATATTAAAATCAAATTTGCAATGCTGATACAAGTCTAGGCTTCAGATGTTTTATCTTCTGACGATAGACATAGTGATTACTCAAGCCATTTAAAAGTAGCCGCAAAGGACAAAGACGAAAATAGGAATACTTAACAAATCATTTGACATGTAGGATATTTCAGAACAACATTTGAAGATTTTCCATCAATATAAAAGAAATGTATGTATAATAAGAATCCTTGGTTTTTCTATATACAGTTGTATTACAATCCTGAAAACTGAAATGTATCTTCTGTCATTGTGAGGACAGAATTTTCTCAAAGAATGAAACTAATCTGACAATAATAACAGTAACATACTGGGTTTAACTTACGGGGTTTTTCAGCAGAGATATAAAATGTGGTTTTTGTTGTTTCAGTCCAACTTCTAAATCAAGAACAGCATCTGGATTTTTCTTGTAGATTGCAGCATTGATAATCCTCTCTAATTCCTTAAACGGTCCCCAGAGACGTGCCTCTGAGAAAAATAAAAAACATTCACAATATTTCAAAAAAATTATGTCCTGCAGAATATCACTTAATATAAAAAACCTCTTTGAACATGAAAAAAACAACAACAAATAAAACCCAGCATAGAATATAAGACATGTCTTTATACCATACAGACAGAGTATATGTAAGGCATCCTGCCTTTAGTCCTATACATATAGAATCAGGCCTAGTAAGGCCTCCTGTCTGTGACCCTATACCAACAGAACAGACTTCAAGTCAAACAGAGCTAAACAGTAATTTTATTAATTCTGGTGATCATTATGTGCCCTTACAATCCGAAACAGCTCAGTACAGCTATGTTGGGCCATACAGGAAAGTACCAGACTGCTATTACTATCACTTGTGATGGTGGCACAAGTAAATTTTTTAAGTTGATGTCAGAAAAAAACATTGAAATGCCTTAAAATAGCAAAAATCTAAAAAGGTTTGAGAGGCAAGTAAACTTTTGTTGTATAGAAAAAAACAAAAAATTCTGGGTTAATAGGGAATAATTGTTTAATGAACTGTACCAACAGTGGATGCATTTCTACCACTTTTTCAAAACTTCTGTATTATATCTTAAATGAGCAGAGTCGATAGACATTAAATCATCACTTTAGAGACAGAAATTTTCAGTCTTGCTATGCAGGCTGTCAATAAAGTCTTCTTCAAAATATAGGAATACTTTTTCAACAAATATTGGGATTTTTTGCTAGTTTTAGGCAAAATATAGGAGTTTTCCAAACGAAAATCATTTCAGTCAAAAGCATTTATTGTAACAATTCTTCTGCATAGCTCATCATCTGAATGGGCACCTAAAAGGCCAATATCCTGTTGTACCACCTTGCAAGATGCCCATACAGGTGATAAAGAGATGCACTGAATCATTTTCAGGTGGTTGGTGATGCTGTTAAAGACTTAAGAATTCTCTAAACTATACAATAATGAACCAAAAGCAGTATCAAAGAAATATTTACAATCTCTACATTTACAGGCAACAAATTTCCTGAAAAATATAGGAATAACAACAGGAGAATATAGGAAATACTGGAGGTCTTTCAATATATAAGTTTTTGAACCAAAATATAGGAATCTGTTGACAGCATGGCTATGCCATGCACCATAAAGGGGAAATTATCATTTCCCTATAATAAAGCTGTACACGCAACAGTTTCGGAATTCTCCAAACTGATATTACCAACTTGATGTTCCACTATTAGATTTTAATAGTTTCCAAGGATCTTTGATGTCCTCTCAATGATATCTATAAAAGGTGTACACAATGATCTAATGATACGCTTGTATCAGTGGACGAACTACAGAAATTGCACGTTCTATAAGTGAAATGAAGCTATTACACAACAGTGTTTTAGCAAGTCTAGTTTTCCTCCATTTCGGTAATTTAACTCTAATTAGGTCCATTTCGGTAAATACCCCATCCGACCGAACTGATGAATGTTGCTGTTCTGAAATCGAAACTTGGAGCAAAACAAAATATGTCAAAGGGCTATCCTTAGCTATTTCTACAACAATATGTCTGGATAGATATACAACATTTAAACGTTAAATATATGAAGACTATCACCACCACAAAGCGTCACACACTGGTGTCGAATCAACTTACCCGAGTTTACCGCCTGATCAGCCGCCATGCTTCAAATTTTTATTTTCTCCACTTCCGGTAGACAGGAGAGAAGGGAGATGACTCTGACAAGACTTGTTTCATTTCTCAGACTCAAGCAAGTCTACTACGATATCGCATGACATTAGTAATATGGTAATGCCAAAAGTTGCTGCAATTTACTGGATGTTTGTATTAAGCTGAACCCAAGTTTCATATTGAAAGCCATTATGTTGATTTCCAATTGAAAGTTAATGTCCATTAGTAGTTATAAATTAATATCCGTTACTATTTGAAAGTTAATACGAGGACAAAGTCATCAAGATCTCCCGCCTATGTTCATTTGTAAAATAGATACATTTCAAGTGAGCAACATGGAAAACTGGAAAAAAACAATCAGATTACAGCAGCCTCATTTTATATGCACAGAATTTGCCGAATCAATCTTGAACAAGGGATTACGATAACAAGTCTACCTAGCCAGTCTCGTCATAATTTACTTCTTCCTTCAAAAGATAAGGTGCGGAAAGCACTCAGTTAGAATGCCGAAAGATATCAGCCAATCAGGACACAGCAATTTCATGAAATGTGCATAGAATTTGCCGATAATCGAACCTGAACAAGGAATTAAGGTAACAAGTCTGCAAGTCAGCCTCATTAAATATGCACAGAATTCGCTGTTCTAATCAGACTTGTTAATCAAACTTGGACAAGGACTTAACGTAACAAGTCTACCAACCAATTTTCATCGAAATCCTACCAGTCTTTCAAAAGATATCATGAAAGCAGCATGCCAATGCACGACAGAAGGATGAATGGACGGACGGAACCCATTTGGATATCCCCTGTCAACTTTGTTGAGTGGGGGATAATTACTAGTTGTTTGTCAATGTCCATTACAAGAATCTGTCTTGCATTTTAAGAAGAAAAAAAAACCCACCAGAGTAAAAAATGAAGCAAAAACCAAATTATATATATATTTATTACCTACAGAACAGACAAACAATAAATCATGTACAATAGTATTGTATAATTCTATATATCACATATAATCAACACTTTGTCACTGTCGACCACTACTAATTTCACCTCTATCTCTTGTTGATCAAAAGAAGATTTCAAGGTTAAAAAACATGTCTTCAAATAACAATGTAGTTAAGTTCATATGAAACCATCCTGATTACAATAATATCATAAAATATATTTAAAGTGTAAGTTCACCTACAGAAAATAGTCCATTTAATGAGAGAACATCCACAGCATAAGATAACTCCCTAGTCAGAACTATAACTTCCATGGATTTCATTGTTTGAGCAAAATACCAATCATAATTATCTCATAATAACATCTGTACGTATAATTCATACTTGTTTTTTTTTAAAAAAAGAACAGAAAAATTAGTCTATAAATCTACAGTAAAACTGGATTAACTATATATGTATATGAAATATTACTTGAAGACTTTTCGTAACAAAGACTTAATTACTTTATGCTTTGCTAAGTATCAAGTTGATTTGATAGGAAATTGATACTGGTCTGAAATATAACAAAAGTCTTCTTTTCAGGATAAATGACTGTTTTTCAGTCAATATTTTACTTTGTTTATAAACAGCTTCATTTCGTTTCTTTCTCCTTTTCAGTATCAAATATAAAGAGGTACTAAATGTACACTAACTGGTAAAATGACAAATCAGTATTTCAAAAAATGCGACATAATACATAAAAAATGAAGATAACAAAGGTGGTCAGAAACTTGTAAAAAGTTGAAACAGAAAAACATTACAATCTGAAGAAGTGGTCCAACCTAAACAAAAATAACAAACATTACCCTTAAAAATAGAAAACAAAAAGTTTTTAAAAAGTGTTTAGTAAATGTAAAACTACAGGAATGTTAACTAATCTAGAGTCTAAAATTCTCTCACTAGGGTAGGGAAATATGGTAATCAGAAATAACTTCTGTAACAAAGAGGTAGGAGGCATTGTAATAAAGACAAAAATCCCACACCTCTTATTTTTTAAATCAAATTCTTTTGCATAATGGTCAATAGATATATATATATACTGGTTTTGATAACTATCAAATAAATAGTAAAATTTCATAAATAAGTTTTGATAATAGTGTTTCAAGTAAGATTGGAATACACTAGTACAACCCTCATTTAATATGATACAGGTACCATATAGATTATTATACAGGTTTTTGTGTACCTTATGACATAATTCTTGGTGTGATTGATACACACTGCTAAGGTTATTGTTGTCTAACAAACAAAACCTAAAACAGAATTTAGCTTCTAAGACCTGTATCCCGAAGTGAATACTGCACTCATACACAAAAGTACAGTGAATGAGTATAAATTATATATATATATATATCTGTACAAAATTATCTTTATTGATTGATAGTTCATAATGCATATAAAAAGAAAAGGTTACAATTTGATAAATATAATTAATGTGATCCAGACAAAACCTGGTCGATTGAATCGGAGCATAATTCAAAAATAGATTATTTGAATCAAGAAGATATAATAATATATATACATTTCAATAAGCCCAATAATGTTTTTTTTTATTTCCAAAAGATGTCTAGAGATAGGCCTGTCAACAAATTAAGGTCTGAAACATGTACAAATGGCCAAGGCTTATTTCAGTATAGATATTACAGCAGTTTTTGTTCTGAATGAGTAAATCTAATAATGATGTGACTCATGATATTAAATGTAAAGTACATTATATTATGTTCAATATGGATGCCAACTTGCAGTAAAAATTTACCACTGTCAACAGATCTTAACTAGTATGTAAAACTATGTGATTTTTACAGAAATACAATGTGTCTACATCATGGAAAGGTAGCCATTTATACAAATAATACACAAAGGTGTGCGTAATATCAAGTGGTAAAATTCAATTTTAATTCGAAACATATAGACTCCTTCATACAGATATAAAGACATTTGAAATTCTTAAAAAACCAGCTTCCCATTTGAGAAAAGTAAGTGATAGGTGTTAAAACAAAGATGGCCATTTTCAAGTTGAAGTAGATAGATAGACCTGCCATGATAAACCTATATATATATTTACCATTAGATATAATGCTTACCTGTCACATTATAAGGTACATCTAAACTTTAAAACCAATGCCCTGAAATGTGGCTCTACATATACACAACAAAAATCACTGACACAACAAAGGAGCCAGAATTCAACTTATTATATATAAAGGCAAACCTACTGAAAGACAGTTTAGAATACTCTGTAAGTTGTTGATGAAAAATTGCATAAACTTACATAGATATCAACTTCTCAGCTCTATAAAGCACACAAATTTGTCTAAATAAAAACATGCCATCTGATGGAGAGGGCTTTCACTGGCTCTACATGTTGCCCAATTATCATGACAATGTGATATTCTGAAATAAATTTGAAATAAAGAAAGAAAATCTTATGTAAGAACTTATATACAATCAAAATTTTATATTATGTCTCATATTGTAGAATAAAACACAAAAAGGCACTGACTACGTATGCATCAAAAGCCATTGCATCACATGACCACATGGACCCTATAAATAGACTATAAACAGAGTCACATGACTACAATGTATCCCATAAATAGACTATGAAATGAATCATGTGACTACCCAGTACCCTACATACAGTCTATAAACTGATCGCATGACTACTCATTAAACTAAAATCAGACCATAAGATACATAACATGGTACTCCACAACTTTGATCATACATAATCCATTCTAGGCAAAGTTTCCCACATCTAACTCAGTGATCAATATCTATAAAATTAACAATTGGTAAAGCTCATTAAGAGTGCACTTTTCTTCCTTTATATAGTTATAATAATAAACTTTATCTATCGAGGATATACGACCTGATTTAGCCAAAGCTTATCTCCCTCATAAAGACACATATAGACACATATAGTTGCCCATTTAATAAACTGTCTAGTACTGAGATTGATGACAGGTGTGAACTGTACATGGGATTAAGGTCACCTTCTAGATTCACACTTGAGGGATTTTCCCAGGGATCCACTTGACTGGAGAAGTTAGAATGGCAGACTGGTAAGCCTTGGGTCCATTGAAGAGGTACACTTTTCTCTGTCACAATTACATGATGATGCAGATTTGTTTTTCTATTTCCAAACCAACAACAGTGCAACTGACAAAACCTCCTAGTAAGTCAACCTTTTATCTAACATGCCATATTGCCAGCTCTCTATTATAGCGTTAATCACCATGGAATATATTTCCCTATTTACACAACAACACCAACAACTGTATTAATATAGAGGTCTGCCATCTCTATACACTACAGCATAGTTTATACAACCATGTAAGTAAATAGGGGAAATCTTTACATTATCACACCTAAGGTCATGGGAAACAAAACAAGAGGCTCAACCTTATACAATAGGAGTATATCACTGGTTATATATTGTATATCAGATTATAGTTATCTGAATTAATGAATATTCCTAGATCTATTACATATGAAAGACTATAAATATTTCTATCAACATCCATTTTACTTGTCAATTTAAAATGAAGATTTTATTTTGACAGATTTATTTGGTATCGTTTCATGCTAAACAACAACCTCATTTAAACCATGTTGTAGCCATGATAAGTAGATATAGGTAAACACCTCTGTGGCCTACTAAAATTAGTAATGATTTGTCCCACTAAGGCATCAGTCTATAATACAAACAACCAGAAATTTGTAAAGTACATTGTATCAAATCAAAAGTTACAAAAGTTAACAACAATACATATAATTTATAGAAAAAATACTACAGTAAAATCACTGTCTCCATTCCCTACAACAGTTACAGCCATTCACGATTAATTAGTGATAAAGTGTCCAATCAGAATCAGTGGACAGATAAGAAAAACTCAATTCTATCCAATCTTCTCCAACATCACTAAAATCATTTTTACTTTCTTCATAATGGATCTTCTTTTAGAAAAATCCAAAGTTTTTCCTGTACAATTAAACAACCCTGATGATTTCCGCTATAAAACTATTTGTGACCAGATTAATCAGATAACATCACAGTAACCCATATCATTATTAGTCTGGGCAGAGCTCTCCAACAATGGAAGTGACACTTTAAAAGGCTAAGAGTTTTCATGACCCTGATAATCAGGAGACTAAGGCCATATTCATGTAACCAGGTTGAAACAGTTCAGGTGGCTTGGAATTTTTTCACTATATACAAACGCACATGCATGGGATGTTGTACCAAATATATGTTTCTGATTTTCCTGTCAAGTATAAATCAATTAACTAAAATTAGGATACCATCCATTTCACTCATACTTTTTATAACACAATGCTCCCAGAAATATGTGAGTGCAACGACTCAACTACTAATGCTGAAATTTTGAAAATCAATGATATTCAGCAAGTTAGTTTCGGACAGATACAGCTGGACTCCTCAAAATGCACATGCCAAATATTCCGCAGTCCAGTCTTGGTCCCGATCTTCACCTGGCAATTTACTTAAACGTTCAACTGGTTCAACCGTTTCAACTGCTTATGTGTAAGTGCCCTATGAGTTTGCATGACCATGATAATCAGGAGACTAAGAGTCTGAGTGACCTTGATAACCATGAGACTAAGAGTTTAACTGATTCTGACAAAGTGGAGACTAAGAGTTTGAGTGACCTTGATAACCAGGAGAGTAAGAGTTTGAGTGACCCTGATATCTAAGATGCCTCTGTGTCCTGGAAATCCTCCTCCTGCCACTTGATGTTCTGTGAAGTCAGGAGTGCTGTCAACATACTCTCTAGCTTGATATTTTGTGAGCGCATTTCTTTCACAGAGAAGCGTAACTTATTGAGGTCTTTCTGGAGTTGTTCCTGTCCCTCCTGTACTTTCTCTATGTCATCCTGTAATCAAACAACACATTTTATCAGTTATACATCAAAATAGCTTCATGTTGGTGTATACCTTCTCAGCATAACCACAGTCACATCTTACTATTAATATTGATCCTTTTTAATTCTGACCAAAGTCAGGTGTGGTCTTATCACAGAACAAAGAAAATCATTGGTTTTTAGTTCTAAGGATTAGCGGTATATAAGGATACATAGGCCTCTTTCTAGAACATAGTTCAGTAGCAATCTATTTATAGCCTGAAACTATCCTGTTAACAGCCTATGACACAATACCTGGAGGAATGAACTCGTCTAATTAACATTCAAACTCATCAGGTGTCTTGTGGTTTTATTTGGACTGTAAAGTGAAGGTCAATCACTGCTATTTTGCTTGCATGGCTTCATATAATGGTAACTCAGTTAAAGAATTAAACAACACTGTAAATCTCCGTGTATTGTAAATAGTCATAATAGTCATTATTATAAAAATACAACTATCAATGTTGGTGTTCATTACTTATGTTTAATTAGGATTTTCTTGATTCTGATTTTCACAAATTGCACACAAAAGAAAGTAACAGACAGTAGTTTGGTTGTTGTCAGGGGTGACGAGTTTTCATAAAAAACTTGATGTCTTTATTTCACACTCACCAGATCTGGGTTGAGAGCTTTATTGATGGCTGCAGAAGACAGATCTCCAGCCTCCATGTTAGCGAGTTGACTGAAGGGATTTTTCCAACCTTGGTTGGGACGGATTGTCTGCTTTTTTGTGACAAATTTCCTTCGTATGAATTCCGGAACAATTCTCTCCACGTCAAGCGCAAGTTCAACCTAAAACAAGAGCAATCAGTGATTGTAAAATTCAGCGGTACCAACCATATAAAATTAAACTAAATTAAGGTTTGATTTTATTTAAACACAGTATAACCAATGAAACAGAATCACTTTTTTCCTGGGAAGACTTCTAAATTACAGCATACATTTAATATAAATATACAGTTAAACATACATGGCTCCTAGACCAGAGATAAATGGTTCAATAGGACTCCTAGACCAGAGATAAATGGTTCAGTAGGACTCCTAGATCCCAGATAAATGGTTCAGTAGGCCTCCTAGACCCCAGATAAATGGTTCAATAAGACTCCTAGACCAGAGATAAATGGTTAAGTTGGACTCCTAGACCCCAGATAAATGGTTCAGTATGACTCCTAGATCCCAGATAAATGAGTTAGAATTACTATGTAAAATAGGCAAGGTGCAAAACAAAATGTAGAGCTACAGAAATACTTCAAAAACTGAAGTCAAAGGAAAAGTATAAGCTCACCATAGAGCTAATAGGAGAGACATCAACACAACAGAACAGTGTTATAGTTGAAGAGCTAGTTTTAGAGTTTTAGAGGTCACGCATTCATTATTCAGTATTGTCATGTGATGTGTTTGAATCATTTTGTGTTACACATCCTTACCATGTACAGAGCAACACCACCATCAGTATAGATAATGTTGGGACAACAATAACATGTTAATTACTCTATTTAAAAAGTTCATTCAAGTGATAATGTATGGCATGCTATTAAACGTAATCCTATCATCTCATGAATCTGGTTAAAACTCAATGTAACTCTAATACTATATAGTAGTAACTGTTGTAACATACTGCTCAGCCAAAAAGAGAGAATTTCTCTTTCGCTCAGTCAGTTGAGCGTAAGATTTGGCCAAGGAATTACGTACCTGCATAGCCATCCTCTTGAGTGCAGCCTGTTCCTGTACTGCCTTGATATCATCTACAGCCAAACCAACCTACAATATTCAAAGATCAATAAATATCTATCTAAACTCACTATTTAGTCGACAAGAAATCAAAGGATATCTAATCAAATGACTGACAGTGTTAAAACATCAAAAGTCAAATATCCAGTCAAACCAACCTTAAGTGTTAAAATACCAAAGGTCAGACATTCCACTAAACTGACCAACTAAATTAAAATACCAAAGGTCAGATATTTAGTCAAACTGACCTACAATGTTAAAATACCAAAGGTCAGATATTGAGTCAAACTGACCTACAATGTTAAAATACCAAAGGTCAGATATTGAGTCAAACTGAACTACAATGTTAAAATACCAAAGGTCAGATATTGAGTCAAACTGAACTACAATGTTAAAATACCAAAGGTCAGATATTCTGTCAGATTACAGGGTAGGCTACTCACCAGTAAGTTCATGATGATGATGGACATGATGATCATGAATACAACAAACAAAATGTAGGTCACTGTATCCTGGTAAACTTTCTCGGTGTGATCGGCATGGTTTCCATTGAAAATGGAATCAAACTCAAATTCACCAATCATCATCACAGAGGTCTTCATTAAAGCCTGTCCAAACGTCTTGAAGGGTACCTAGAGGTAGACAAGATTATAAAATAACTAATATGGAGAGATGGTTAAGAATATTAAATACAGCAAAGACATCCAAAGTGTAAACCGTTTATTCTATATCTCTGAAGACGACAAAGTAGCACAATTATATAAACATTAGAATGGTTGAGAATCTTTTCTTCCTCATTAATATCCTACTGATTCATGTCACTCAATCTCCTAGATAATGAATTATGTAACCAAGAGTTTACAATCACCATATGATATCACAAGGTACCTGGTTTTGAAGTACAGTATAGAAGCCAAGGGCAAAGGCAACGATGAAGAGAAAGAAGACGAGGAAGAATTGGATGAAGGTGTTTAGGATGTCCTTGAACATGACAACGTAGATACCAAACCGTGGGAACTTCTGGAGGAAAAGAACCAGGTCAATCCAGGCTAAAAATACTGCGATGGCTCCCAGGGACCACTGCCAGTCCTGTAGAACAAAAGTAATTACAGATTACTGACAATAAAAATGTTGTATGATGGTCACCACCAGTTACTGTCCCAAAACAACCAAAGAGATGGTGTACAAGAAATAAATTTTACTCACATATCTGAAGCCTGTATCTCTCTGGCATTCCTGGAAGTCGATAACAAGCAGGAGCGCGAACACATAGGTAAGCCACTCGATGAGGTTCTCCCATCCCAGATACTGCAGTTTGGCCTGGTATATCTGTAGCAACTGTCGATGACAAAAAAAAACATTTTTTAATCATCAAAAAGAACTTCATGTCATCAGATACAAGAAAAGCTATCATTAAAGATTAAAGCCCCTAACATACTCCTACAACTGTATCCCAGCACTTGTTGCAGTGATCAAATTATAGCTAGTACATTATGGTATGAACAACCTCCCTTATGTAAAGCAGACATACCAAACTTTCCCAGCAATCACAAACTTTACAAATATTATCACAAACCTAAAGACACCATGTATCTCACAAAGACACCATGTGCCTTACAAATATATCACAAACTAACAAAGACACAATAAACCTCACAAAGACACTATGTTCCTCATAAAGAGACACCATGTACCTCACAAAGACACCATGCACCTCACAAAGACACCATGTACCTCACAAAGACACCAAGTACCTCACAAAGACACCATGCACCTCACAAAGACACTATGTACCTCACAAAGACACCATGTACCTCACAAAGACACTATGTACCTCACAAAGACACCAAGTACCTCACAAAGAGACACCATGTACCTCACAAAGACACCATGTACCTCACAAAGACACCATGCACCTCACAAAGACACTATGTACCTCACAAAGACACCATGTTCCTCACAAAGAGAAACCATGTACCTCACAAAGACACCATGTACCTCACAAAGACACCATGTACCTCACAAAGACACTATATACCTCACAAAGACACCATGCACCTCACAAAGACACTATGTACCTCACAAAGAGACACCATGTACCTCACAAAGACACCATGTACCTCACAAAGACACTATGCACCTCACAAAGACACCATGTACCTCACAAAGACACCATGTACCTCACAAAGAGAAACCATGTACCTCACAAAGACACCATGTACCTCACAAAGACACCATGTACCTCACCTATATACACAAAGAGACCTCACAAAGACCATGTACCTCACAAAGACACCATGTACCTCACAAAGACACCATGTACCTCACAAAGACACCATATCATACCTCACAAAGACACCATGCACAAAGAGACTCACAAAGACACCATGTACCTCACAAAGAGACACCATATATACCTCACAAAGACACCATGCACCTCACAAAGACACAATGTACATAACAAATACACCATGTACCTCACAAAGACACAAAGACACCATGCACCTCACAAAGACACTATGTACCTCACAAAGACACCATGTTCCTCACAAAGAGACACCATGTACCTCACAAAGACACCATGTACCTCACAAAGACACCATGTACCTCACAAAGACACCATGTACCTCACAAAGACAATATGCACCTCACAAAGACACTATGTACCTCACAAAGACACCATGTTCCTCACAAAGAGACACCATGTACCTCACAAAGACACCATGTACCTCACAAAGACACCATGTACCTCACAAAGACACCATGTACCTCACAAAGAGACACCATGTACCTCACAAAGACACCATGTACCTCACAAAGACACCAAGTACTTCACAAAGAGACACCATGTACCTCACAAAGACACGATGTACCTCACAAAGACACCATGTACCTCACAAAGATACCAAGTACCTCACAAAGAGACACCATGTACCTCACAAAGACACCATGTACCTCACAAAGACACTATGTACCTCACAAAGACACCATGCACCTCACAAAGACACTATGTACCTCACAAAGACACCATGTACCTCACAAAGACACTATGTACCTCACAAAGACACCATGTGCCTCACAAAGATATCACAAACTTGCAAATACACCACATACCTCACAAAGACATCACAAACTTAACAAAGACATCATGTACCTCACACACAAACACAATCTCATATAAAAACTACTAACATCACAAAGACACACCATACCTCACAAAGACACTATGTACCTCACAAAGACACCACATACCTCACAAAGACATCACCTACCTCATGAAGACATCACAAACTTAACAAAGACACCATGTACCTCACAAAGACACCACCTACCTCACGAAGAAGATTCCATGCTGCTAAAGCTATGATGACATATTTTCCAATTTTAGCAAATATGTGTTGTCGGTGTACCGGAGTCGTGCTGCTAGCCACAAGTTCACAGGAGACATTGCCGGTAGTACTGTAAGTAAACAGACAACTCTTTGATGATCAACTATACTCCATTATACTCTGGTGTTTATAAAGGACAATTTAATTTGACTACTATTAATCTTTTGAACTTCAACGTAACACAAGGACAGCGAACAAAACACTATCAGCACTGCATTGTCCAAGTGCTAAATCTAGCAAAGTGCCCAATCACATAGTAAACAAGTTCAAAAACTAGTTCCCTTGGAATTGTGGGCAATTTTCATTAGAAAAGGTTTGTACTGGTTTGACAGTTTTGTTTTGGTCTTTTCTAAAGATGCATTCGACCAAGCTAAATGTTTTCTTGTCTTGTCTTTTAACTGGATAATTAAACTGGTGATTAATTGCCAGAGATATGTATACGATGGACCGATACACCATAATTAAGCATGTGTTGTGTAAAGGCAATTTTCTACTCGTGTGTATCGACTGATTTCATCAGATAATGTGTCGATGTTTTGACAAAAATTGATTTTGAGACATTGAATGACTTTTTCCTCGCTTTACAATTGAAGGGACTGAAAAAAAGCTTCGACTCAAATGAAATTTTGACTCAATAAATTTGAGTCGTCCGAACTAAAATTACAAAGAAATAGAATGAAAAAATTTTGTGACTAGAAGAAATTATTTCGACTCAAACCAAATTTCAACTTAAGCAATTTCGAGACAAGAAGTTTCAACTGTAGTTCTTGTTTCTTTATAAATATACATCACAAACAAACAACAAGAGCTCCTTTCTTCTGTTGATGGCTAAACACAAGAAGTTCACAAGCTTATTCAGGAGGGGAAGTAACTGTAAACATATGTCAGTATAATTGTATGGAGGGGATATTACTCTAAGAGTCCATCATAAAAATGGGAAACTAATTGTAGAAATCCTTCAGTCTATCATAAAGGAGGGCAATTAACTGTATAAAGCTGAGAGACTATTATAAAGGGGAGGTAACTATGTATCAGTACAAGTACGAGTGGATCATACCTGTAGGTGAATGGAGCATTGCTGGCCAGGATATAGCCAGTCAGGAAGGTTAGGAACACAGCATAAATAGCAAAGTTGATATAGTAGAATACACGACCAAAGCTGTTCCACTTGTGTCGGAGAAGGGAAGTTACCAGTGGATGGGCCAGAAGGTCTTCTCGCTTGGATGTCACCTAGGAAACAGGTATCATGATGAAATTCACATAATGTCACAAACAATATTTATAGTACATACATTTTTAATGATGTGGCATGATAAGATAAGAGGCGTTCCATTTCCAGGATCTCACATCCAGGGATGAGGATGCACCCACAATTCAGCACCATCCTTTTATACACTAAAACGACTTTTCATCTTCAGAAAAGGTTACTATTGCTTTGTTGACACATGGCGGTTACAGCTATTTCCCTACTGAGTTTCACCCCTTAGCAGACAGGAAACACACATTCTATACATTAAAAATTCTCTTTGTGGTAATGAAGGAGAGAGACTTTTAAAGATCAAAAATGAATTTCCTGTACAGAAAGGTTTTCCTGTCCTAGAGAGGCCACTCCTTCCATTTACAGTAGATTCCTTACACCATCCATTCCTTCACCAAATTAAATAAAATCTGTTCATTCATTCTATACAAGAAACACTTCAATGGAAGAACAATTAGACCATCAATGCTGCGTAAACTTACCATTATCATGAGTGGGTGGTTCTTCTTCATCTCACTGGAGTCAGTTGTGTAGGGTTTGGCTGAGGAGGACAGGGTAAAGTCCTCATTGTATACACTCCCTGTAGGGTGAAGGTTACATGTCATTAATACATGTGCCTCAGGGGGTAAAGGTCAAATGTCATCAATGATAAAAATTAGATGTGGTTAATGTCTCAGATGTAAAAATCTGATGTTTTCAGTGTTTTGACAGTAAATGTCTAATGTCACCAACATCTCAGGGATAAAATTTACATGTCGTCAACATGTCAGGGGTAAAGGTCAAATGTCATCACTTTTTCAAAGATAAAGGTCAAATGTAAGAAAAACCCTTGCTGTAGTTTTAATTTTGCCTCATCAGCTAACGAGGCAAAAATTAAAAAAACAGGGTAAAGTTTGGTTTTAGAGCTAAAAATATTTGTTTTTACATTTTTAAAGTGAATATGACATTGAACAAAAATTGTTTTATGCAGGAAAAAAAGAAGTTTTCTATTTGTGATTGGATACAAATGTATTGTTCTCAGATACATTACGAGATTGTTTAACAAGGAATTTTTGACCAAGTCTGTTAATTGTTGTTTATACTTACCATCAGATGATCCACCACTTTCACTCGGTCCAGTCTCCAGTGGATATGTGTCGCAACAATCTGTTACCAAACTGTCGCCAGCCACGTCGCCAGCGAGTAAACATCGTCCAGAAACTCGTAATTAAATGTGACTTTATAGTCACGGTGTTCGAAACTTTTCTTGTTGTCAGTCATACACTTGTTAAATACAACTTCAGCAACATCTGTGAAATACAACACATACTGATACATCTCTAGTGTAGACAATTAAACAACAATCTGTTACCAAACTGGGCATACAGTGGATATGTGTCTAGTGTAGACAATTAAACAACAAACTGTTACCAAACTGGGTATACAGTGGATATGTGTCTAGTGTAGACAATTAAACAACAAACTGTTACCAAACTGGGTATACAGTGGATATGTGTCTAGTGTAGACAATTAAACAACAATCTGTTACCAAACTGGGCATACAGTGGATATGTGTCTAGTGTAGACAATTAAACAACAATCTGTTACAAAATGGAGCATACAGTGGATATGAAGCTAATCTGAGTGGAAGATAAAAATTCATGGCACCCGTTATTTATATTTCTGTCCTCAATTATCTATAAAAAAAATCAAAACAAAACAAAAACCATGAACACGCTGTTTAAATTTCCCACTTAACCAGACACTGACATCATCAGCAAGTCCTTATCTGAGAACAGTCGTAATAACAAAGTTCCTTGTGTCATCATAAATAACAATTGTATGAAATAGTCATAAATTTGACTTGTTTAATGATATAAAAGTTTAAACTCTCACAATCTTTTTTATAATTACATTATTTTACAAAGTTGACAAACTTTCCAATTAAGTATTTTTTGGCAATAATAATAATTTTGTGGCAAAATTACATGTTTGACAATAAATTTGTTTAATAATAATTTGATACTTTTTTTTAGAATTACTGATTTTTTGTGCGGGTCTTTCTGAAGTCCAACAACTACAGATATGTTAGTACACTGTATATTGACACTATAGTGAAAATGACTGGTGGCCAGTTTTGTTTACCAAAGAGACATCAATTATCAATTTCTAATTCAACCAAATCATTGTAAATGGTAATATGCAGACTCCATACTAGAATTTGGCGTAGTAAGGATCTGTTGGCGAATGCAACACAGAACATTAATATTACGTTTACATCTACAGCCATGATCACTTTTTGGTGGACATTTCACCTAGACGACTGAATGATTGGTGTTCTTTGGTATACTCCCATTTGATTTATATCATGGGAGAGTGGAAATGTTATAATATAAAGATAGTCATATACAGATATCTTGGTTGGAATGATACAAATTACACAGAAATGTTCTGTAATAAACATATGTACTAGATATGGACTGATGTCCAGGCAGAGCTGACAGATGCAGCTACTCACTGGACAGGAACTATCACCAGCACAGTAAGACCATCAGTCAAGCTTAGAACTGATACAGTTGGATCTCTGACATCTACAAGCTGAACTTTACCTTTGAACAGATCTTTGCCTGTAGGAGGAATAATCCTTTCAGCTTTACTTTTTCAATCACATATAAATCACCTCATAACAAAATTGATAAATGAACTTGGGTATACTACAAGGTACTAGGACATACAATCTAAATCACTTCCCTGTAGGGATGAGGTAGATCTCAGTGTATGGTGACATTTCTCCACATACTCATGTAAGGTATGCAGATACTTTAATTCCATATCTCACCTGGCATTTTCTTAATTAGTTTTCTCATTGGTGTGCTCTTCACATCTGTACCAAGCTCTGAAGTCTCATTTCTTAGAGCATCTTCCCACATTTCTGAGTTAATAATGGTTAGAGCCACATCCCTGTAATAGTAATTAAATATACATTGTTAGGGCCACGTCCCTGTAATAGTAATCAAATATACATTGTTAGGGCCACGTCCCTGTAATAGTAATTAAATATACATTGTTAGGGCCATGTCCCTGTAATAGTAATCAAATATACATTGTCAGGGCCTCATCTCTGTTAAGTGATTAAATGTACATTGTCAGAGCCACATCCCTGTAAAGTGATCAAATATACATTGTCAGGGCCACTTCTCTGCAAAGTGATTAAATATACATAGTAAGGGGCACATCTTTATAACTGTGACTTATATACAAGATATACATGATTAGCCAAAGTTAAGTAACCTTGATATCAATGACCCGGAGGGAAGTTTTTGTTAATTAATAATAGTTGAAAACAAAATCACAAGGATATTTGAATTTGAACATTAATCATCACCAGAGAAACATTAGATTAAGATAATTGATCAATCTAAATCTTTGGTTATTAACATGTTTATAAGCAGCGACCCCCCACCCCCACCCCGCCCACTCCCCTCCAATGTTTCTCTCTCAGCCACCTTACCAACGACCTCTACAGACTTCCCAATTAACCCTAATATTAAATCCTGTACATACGGATGATTGTTGTCGATAGCCAAGTCAAGGCAATTGTCACTGTTTGAGTCATTTTGCTGGATATTGGCCTTCCACTGAATCAGCAGTTCCACCACTCCAGAATGTCCATAGCGGGCAGCAAGATGTAGAGGTGTTGTCTGTAACCAACAGTCAATCATGTTGAATTCAATAAGACATTTTAATCACTTTCACCTCAATGATCCAAATATGATGTTAACTTTGTTACATTTATACTTGACTAGATACCTTGGTTTTGTCCATGGGATTGATTGGGGCATCAGCTTCCAATAAAACTTTACAGGTCTTCACCCAACCTTTGGCAGCTGCCGAGTCTAGTGGTGTCCACAGATTACAGTTTCTGAAGTCATGAATACACAACATTTACTGGAATCAATGCTTACACAATGTCTACAGGACTAAAATGTGAATACATAACATTTACAGGAGTCAATATGAATACACAATGTCTACAGGACTAAAATGTGAATACATAACATTTACAGGAGTCAATATGAATACACAATGTCTACAGGACTAAAATGTGAATACATAACATTTACAGGAGTCAATATGAATACACAATGTCTACAGGACTAAAATGTGAATACATAACATTTACAGGAGTCAATATGAATACACAATGTCTACAGGACTAAAATGTGAATACATCATGCTTACAAAAGGAAAATGTGAATACATGACGTTTAATCTTAAACTGCCTCTTGTATGAAAACAAACAATATTAAGGTACATCCAAGGCTAGATGTATCAGTGACATGAATGCTTCCACTGGTAAACAACGAGATGTAGGAAAATTTAACTGATAGCTTTGTTAAGAAGCATACCCATGAAATAAAACTGAATACCTGTTTTCAAATCTATGGTAGAAAGTCTAGGTAAAATGGAAGTTCTGTCTGCAGATTTTTTTAAAATTCCCAATTGAGTTTGACTCTCCAATATCGGTCGTCCAATTTTTGTGAAAATCTTAGCTAGAGTTATATGGCTTTAGGTGGAAATGAAATTCTAATAAAATGACAGACAAGAGTCCTTTTATTGTCACAGAGAATCTCATTATGAAAGTGAATATTTTCACATCCACACGATCCAGATTTTGATTCTTTCTTTAAAAGTTGTCTCAAAATTCCCCTCCATCACTACATCACCCCTAGCTTAAGGACTACTTACCTAGCTGCCACATCAGCTCCATTATCTAACAGTACACCAGCTACTTTAGCATGGCCACACTCTGCTGCCAAGTGTAGTGCTGTGTTTGAGTCCTCATCTTCATCATTCACAGAAGAATGATCTCTCAAAACCAGTTCACGGACAATACTGGATAAAAACAAACATTAATTCTTATAGTTTTCTTCCATAACAACACAAGAGCTCTTTATTTCTATTCTAAAAACATTTGAAATATTAAACAGTTATTTATGATAAGTGTTTTTCAATCACAACAAAATCAAGCACCACCATGAAGTTGGTACCTTGGTATACTGGCCGACTAATTTCACTTCTATATATGAAGCAATTTTGTTAGTAATCTTATAACTACTATTTTTACTATAAGTACATATACATCACAAAACATAACCTGCTACGATATCTTATACCCACAAATAATTTATATCTACCTATTACACTCAATTAACCATAAAATATTAGTATTGTCTATGAGTATACTTGTGTAATTTTTTGTATACTCGTGTAATTTAATTTTTTGTGTACTCATGCAATTTTTCGTGTATACATGTAATTTTTTGTGTATACAGGTAATTTTTTGTGTACTCATGTAATTTTTTGTGTATACATGGAATTTTTTGTGTACTCATGTAATTTTTTGTGTACTCTTGTAATTTTTTGTGTATACATTAAATTTTTTGTGTACTCATGTAATTTTTTGTGTATACATGTAATTTTTTGTGTACTCGTGCAATTTTTTGTGTATACATGTAATTTTTTATGTGTAATGAAATAATACACAAGATATATTAAAAATTTGATGTGTGACTAAAGGCATAAAACAATTTTTGATATGTGTCTAATGATATATTACAATTTTTGGTATGTGTCTAATGATATATTACAGATTTTGGTATGTGTCTAATGATATACAATGTATTACAATTTTTGGTATGTGTTTAATGATATACAATGTATTACAATTTTTGGTATGTGTTTAATGATATACAATGTATTACAATTTTTGGTATGTGTTTAATGATATACAATGTATTACAAATTTTGGTATGTATCTAATGATATGTTATAAAATTTATATATGTCTAAAGAAATATTACAAATGATTGAAGTCTGATGGAATAGAACACAATTGACATGTATTATGGTATACTACAAACATGGTATGTGAAAAATGGCATATAACAGATTTGATATGTGTCTAATGATACAATATAAATTTTCGTCTGTGTCTAAAGACAAAAAATAACCTTGGTATAAATTTAATGAAATAGTACACATTTGGTATGTATTATGATATATAGCAAACTTCGTATGTGACAAGTGGCATATGGCAAAGTTGATATGTGTCGAAAAATGTATTACAAATTTCCGTCTGAATTTAAATGGCTCTTAATATTTAATTCTAATAATGTGGTTTGTGTCTAATGATATATATAAAAAAAAACCTTTGTATATGTCAAATGAAATACTACACACTTGCTATGGCCTTGGTGATATATTACAAAGTTGATGTGTGACTATCAGCATTATAACAAGTCTTGATATACGACTATAGGAATAAAACTAATTTGATATGTGTCAAGGGAAAACTTACAAGTTTTGATATGTGCCTAACGATTTATTGCACATTCTGGTATGTGTCAAGTGATATATTATAAATTAGATATATGTCCTAATAAGATATTACAAATTTAGTATGAGTATGCGACTAATTGCACATGGCAAATGTGATATTTGTCTGATGATATATTACAATTATTGGTCTGTGTCTGATGATATATTACAATTATTGGTCTGTGTCTGATGGTATATTACAAATATTGGCCTGTGTCTGATGATATATTACAAATATTGGTCTGTATCTGATGATATATTACAGATTATTGGTCTGTGACTGATGATATATTACAAATATTGGTCTGTGTCTGATGATACATTACAATTATTGGTCTGTGTCTGATGATATATTACAAACTTTGGTCTGTGTCTAGTGATATATTATACACTTTTACTTGTCCTGTACATATTGTTATGATGTTATATCTGAAAGTGTTTATCTAAATGTAATTATCTAAGTTCTCCATCACGCAACGTGCCATACACAGATATACTCTTGTGAAAACCATGTTTTCTCTTTACGATTTTTTACGTCATTTTCCTTTATTTTCTATCTTGTATCTTTTCTGTTCTTTTCTTTTCCTTGTAAGAATTACTACTGGGTGTATTGGCTATAAAACCTTGGTAGATGGACCTGATGGCTACTCTATTGTCTACTCTATTGTTTATGTAATTTTTGATGATGATGGGTAATGATTTAATGCAGTATAGAGTAGCTATTGGTTGCTTCTACCAACGGATACACGGTATAAATACTACATTACATTTTTTCATTTTTATTTCTATCAGTAAACTGTTTACAAGATGTAGGTCTAGCTTAATGAGTATCATTACTTCTTTATTATTAGCCATTCACGCTACTCTGTCTGCCATTACTAACAACTCTTGCTTTCTATTAATTTTACAACTTCTCATCCTGTCATGTAACGATGTCCATCCTAACCCCGGCCCTATCGAGAAAACCGACATTTCTATCTTTCATCTAAATATTCGAAGTCTGAAAAACAAATTATCATTTCTAGAAAATATAGCATTAGATTATGATATTGTCTGTGTCACCGAGACTCATCTTGATAACTCCACCGTAGACGCTAATATACTCCTTAGTGATTATGATGTATACCGTAAAGATCGTGGGTCTCCGGGTGGGGGGATAGCTGTTTACGCTTCCAGGCTCTTGTGCACCCGTCACAGAGCTGATTTGGAATTCCGGGTGGGTGAAATTATTTGGACAGAACTCCAGTTTTCAGAGCAAAAATATCTTCTTTGTACTGTGTATAGACCTCCTAATTGTGATCGTTCCTTCTGGTATTACTTCCGACACTCAATTGAAACGGCTTTTAATGAAACTTCACACGTAGTAATCGTTGGTGATATCAACGTTGACCTCTTAACTATTAATAATAATCATGTATTTGTTGATATCCTTGACTCCTTTAATCTATCGAATATCGTTCAAAGACCGACACGTGTAGGACGTACAAGCTCGACCTTACTTGACCCGATTATTCTGTCTGACACGTGCAGTTTTAGCTACACCGACGTAATAGATATAGACAGTGACATCTCTGACCATAGCGCGACAACGGTTGAATTGACAGTTAGGACTAGTATTAGGAAGACTTATGAAAGAACTATAAGATGCTACAATGACGCAAATTATAACTTATTTAATAATAAATTAAACGATACGGACTGGGTAGACTTATTTGCGACTGCTAACTCTCCTGACGATATGTGTGAAATTTTTACAACGCGATACCTAGACATAGCTAGGGAATGTATACCGACTCGGACGGTGACCGTTAGACCTAATGACAAACCCTGGTTTGACTCAAATTTAAGACGTGAAATTTGGAAAAGGAATAGACTGTTGAAATTGTATAAATCAAACCGCTCCAACAACAACTTATCTAACTTTCGGAAACAACGTAATCATGTGAATAACTTGAAGAAACGAACAAAAGAATTTTTTTATGCTGATATAAATGGAATTTTAGATCGATACTCGAATTCAAATCCTAGAAATTTTTGGAAAATTGTACGTAAATTAGTTAAATCTTCAGACGAATCAAACATTATACCCCCTATTAGAAATACTCATGGCAACATTGAAATGACCGATGATGGCAAAGCTAATATTTTAAATGATTACTTTGTTTCCATTTCTACTATAGACGACATTAATATAGAATCTCCGACGGTAGAATTACGGACAGACTCGACAATATCAGATATACATTTTGAATTGAGGGACGTAATTGACATACTTAAATCTTTAAATGTGAATAAAGCTGTTGGTATAGACACAATCAGTCATAATATGTTAAAAAATACAGCAGTATCAGTAGCTTTCCCACTATCTCTCATCTTTAGATCCTCTCTGGAAACTGGGGTTTTTCCTAAAATGTGGAAACATGCATTAGTGATACCATTATTCAAAAAAGGGGACAAACACAATTTTGCTAATTACAGGCCAATTTCATTATTAAGCACTGTTGGTAAAGTTTTTGAAAGATTAGTTGTAAAATACCTTAATAACTATTTACTAGAAAATTCACTGATATACAAGTTCCAATCTGGTTTTCAACCTGGTCACTCGACAGTACATCAACTTATCGAAATTTATCATACTTTATGCGAAAATCTAGAAAAAATGCAACCTACATGTTTAGTTTTTTGCGATATATCGAAAGCGTTTGATCGTGTGTGGCACAGGGGTCTGGAAGTGAAACTAGCAAATTATGGTATTCGGGGTAAACTTTTAAATTGGCTTGTTAATTATATAAGTGAAAGAAAACAGCAAGTTTGCGTGGGTAACTCTAAATCCTCTATTAAATCTTCTAATGCGGGTGTTCCACAAGGCTCAGTACTTGGTCCCCTATTATTTATTTTATATATTAATGATTTAACCGATAATCTTCAGAGTTTCTCAAAATTATTTGCCGATGACACTTCTTTATTATACTCGAACCCATCCCCTTACAACGTTGAAACTGTAATAAATGATGATTTAGAACAAATTCAAAATTGGGCGAGAAAGTGGCTAGTAAAGTTTAATCCAACTAAAACAGAAGCATTACTTATCCATAATTCCGAATTAGACTACGCGATAGATATAAAATTTGATAATGTTAGTGTGAATTTTGTAGATAATCATAAGCATTTGGGGGTAACATTTGACCAGAATTGTAAATGGACAAGTCATATTGAGGACATTTGTAAAAAAGTATCTAAGCAGATTAGTATCTTGCGAAAACTTAAATTTATTCTAGGTAGACAAACATTGTATAGAATATATAATTCTTATATTATTCCACTATTAGAATATTGCTGTGAGGTATGGGATGGATGTACTCTCGGTGACGCAGACAAATTAGAAAAACTTCAATTAGAGGCTGCTCGTGTGATTACGGGGTTACCATCTTATACGAGCAGAGATTCCTTATATTCTGAATGTGGGTTAGAACCACTTTGCTTTAGACGCTCTAGAAGGAAATTGCAGCTTTTTTATAAAATCAAAAATAACTTAACACCTGATTATTTATCCACTCTTCTTCCCCCCTTAGTCTCAGAAAATTCACCCTATAACCTTCGAAATGCCAATAATTACTCCATACCAAACTACCGTCTACAACTCACAAAATCTTCTTTCTTTCCCTCTACTATTCATCTTTGGAATCAGTTAGACCACGATATCCGACAAAGTGAAACATATTCGGTCTTTAAACACTCTCTCCGTAAAAACACAGACATTCGAATTCCGCCCTATTTTCTTATTGGTGATAGAAAAACTAACATCCTGCATGCCAGATTACGTAACAGATCCAGTACTTTAAATAATGACTTGTTTCATGCTAACTTAATTAATTATAAACACTGTCAATGTGGACACTATATCGAAGATGCTCATCACTTCTTTTTTGTATGTAATAATTATGCCTACCAACGCCTACAACTTTATCGTGAGCTTAATGATTTCATTCCACTGGACCTCCACCTTCTATTATTTGGAAACTCCGAGCTGACTAACCAGGAAAACGAAACTATATGCCAATCCACCCAAAGATTTATTATAAATACAAACCGGTTTTAAATTATACTCTATAGTAAATTATAATCGTTCCTTCCCAACTCGGGTGACAATTGGTTGAGATATGTTATTTCCAGAAGGATCAGCATGGACCAAGGAGAAGGACATCGGTGGCACGGTTTTTGATAGACATTGACAAGTTGAACGCTAGGAAGAGTGGAATAGTATAAAGAAGGTGATTGTCACCTGGGTTGGGTTAGACCATATCGCTATTGTTCCTTTTTCACTACATTTGTAGATGTACTCTCTCTCTCTCTCTCTCTTTCTCCCCCCTCTCTCTCTTTCTCCCCCCCCCCTCTCTCTCTCTCTGTCTCTCTCTCTCTCTCTGTATATATAATTGTATCTTGTAAATTTCGAATAGGTCATCTTTTGCATTTATATGTGTCTGTTATTTATCTTGGAACGGGCTTTATATAAGTTTGTAAACTTGTGCCCAATCCATTTGTATATACAATTTATGCAATAAAATATGTTTAAATCAAATGTAATTTTTGTGTATACATGTAATTTTTTGTGTACTCGTGTAATTTTTTGTGTACTCGTGTAATTTTTTGTGTACTCATGCATTTTTTTGTGTATACATGTAATTTTTTGTGTATACATGTAAATTTTTGTGTATACATGTAATTTTTTGTGTAATTGTGTAATTTTTTGTGTACCAGAGAGCCATTCTGTACCGAGAACTTAATAATTTTATCTCTCTAGACCTGCAGTTAATCCTACATGGTAGTATTATCTACTCATATGAAGATAATGTAAAAATATGTCAAATCACTCAGCAATATATACTTAATTCCAACAGATTTTGATCTTTATCTCTCTATCTACCTCCCTCTATCTCCTTCCGTGATAAATGTAAAAATATTTGGTCTCTCCTTGCTCCGACACAAGTAGTGACGTTTTTATCTGAAGGACCCGGATGCCAGGAGAAAGCGATATTCGCACGGGATGTGATGAACTGTAGAAAAGTTTGAAAGTTATGAAAAGCGTTTTGTATTTTTACTTGTTGTTTGTATCAGGAGAGACCGCTCTACATGAAGTTATTTAATTTAAACTCTCTCTCTCTCTCTCTCTCTCTCTCTCTCTCTCTCTCTCTCTCTCTCTCTCTCTCTCTCTCTCTCTCTCTTTTTTTTTTTTTTGTATATTATAATTGTATTTAAACATGTCGTCTTGTCTAGTTAATATGTATTTTGTAAAATTTTATAGGAAAGGGCTTTATATAAGTTAGAAAACTTGTGCCCAATCCTGCTTGTATACTTTGTACAAATAAAATATGTTTAAATCAAACGTACTCAGTACGCATAGACTAATGCGACGGCCTTCCAGACAAAATTTACCGATCCTAGCCTTCTCATTGGCTGAAATATCGAGAAGAGTTAGAGCCCTCTAGCGGCAATTATCTGCGTAAATAATGCCGCGATCTTTCAAATCGCTATTTTAAAAGCATCCAAAATTAGTTTATTTTTTAAATAACAATACGATTACTATATATTTAAAAAAAGAAGCGCAGTGTGGTTAAACTATTGATAAATTTTTAACAATATATTTTACGGAATTCTCGACATGCGAGTTGATAAGAAGCTAGTCTGGGGGCTTGGTTTGAATTATCAACTAACAGCAATTACAAACAAACAAAACTTACAAACAGAACATCAATTTTGTTTTAATCCTTGTCGTTGTGGCAAGATCGTCTTAATATATAACATCACCTTACCTCATTAGACGTCACCGAATTGGACTGTTTTGTCCCACGCGCACACCCGCCGATATGACACTTTTTCAGGTTTTTCACACCCACCGCCATGACACTTTTTCAAGTTTTTGAAGATGAAAAGTTTGTGCTTCGTAGGCAAGATACGTTTGGTGCTCATGATTTATGAATGATATATTTTAATACTGTATTGATCATGATGTTGACTCTGTTATAACTTATATTTTTTGTCTTTTAGTTTTATTTGATGAAGGTTGATTGTGCTGATTTCGCAAGGTTTGTTAATGTGTATCAAAGTTCTTTGAAATGAAAATATTCCTTCAAACAAAACGCGTATAAAAAACACAAAATATTCATGTTTATGATTATTTCATCCAGCTTTTTTTTTTTGTGTTCTGTAAAATATATAATGGAGACAGCTGTTAACGTTGATCTTTCCTTTATTGAGTCTCGTCCAAAAGTTACAAACAAATATCAAATACAAGTAATCACAGTCTGATTATAAGACTTGTTGTAAATGTACATGATACACAATGAAATTATCGAATATAAATTTAACTGACAAGTCATCTGTGTATATGGGGAAATTAGAGGTAGAGATAAATAAATCTTGGCTATGTGAGGGTTTTACAATATGAAAGCCAGGCCATAAATATCATTAATTGGTATTTAGCCAATTAAAACTAAAATTAATTAAGTTATATGAACATCAATATATATCTTCCAATGATTCTGAATAGAATTTAAGTCCTCACAATTATGCGTATTAAAA